CAATAGAAGATTTTCATGTCTATAGTTGACTTTACGCTAATGAAGAACACTATTTGAGCTGCATGAGGAGTCCAGCTAAGAGATTTCTATTATCTTTTCGTGATACCATATACCTTGTCGAGAACAAGAAGAGCGGTGCTGGGCTATCTTCTTCAATCCAGGAATACAACCAAACTCCAATCTATCTTGGCTGCTAAACTTCAGCCTCTGCTCCTGTCAAAAGATCACTTTCTAACGAATGATGGCACGTAAATTCGACCAGAGAGAGCCACATCCAGCTCTTGCTGTCATTTCGAGCTGAAACCCCTCATTTTAAGCTGAAAACACGAACATGCACTGGGGTTTGCCCGTTCTGACATTCCTTATCTCTACACGTCAAAGTTATCGCAATGCGTCAAACCTCAAGTTTTTGCACATTTCATATACTTATCGCTGCTATGAAGTCCATTGTCGTATTTCTCGCACTGGCAATCATCTTCAACTCTTTATGTCATGCCAAGAATATCCCTCGTAGATCTCCGAGATCGTTGGATGTATCGACCAATGTCGATGCTGTCAGTCCAAATTCAGGCCAATCTAAACTGATTGACATCAGTCATCACACCCTTATCAGACGAGCTGATCCACCACGACGTCGTTGGTATCGCTTTCAAGAATCTGAAGCCTTGAAAAAAGTATCGGATGTATTGGGCATCATTGTCATGGCTCCAGTTTATGTGATCCTTATTGCTAGCATTGGTATACTATGGTCTGAAGCTGCAATAGCAAGACCTGTATCAAAGATATTGGGGAACTTGCGATTTTCATTGGTACTGGCTGCTAGTATTGGAATTCTTGAGTCTTACCGCTTGATGGTAACTTTTTTGACAGGTCGCTCAAGTTTGATTAAGTCAAACAACTGATTGTTTGGTTGTTATTTAGTTTACTTCTGATGGGGCAGCCCGTGTATTGAGGACTCTGCCGCCATATGTATGTTGGATGGCATTTGAAGTGTCGCTTGCTATATTTAAGATACTCCTGAGCGACTCAACACTTTCCAGAATAGCTACAACAACTACTACGGGATGGAATGGACACTCAATATGTTGCTGAGGTCGAAGAGCTTAACAAGATGCTGCCTTCTATGCAACTGATTGTGTATGCAATCCTTGGACCCGCTGCAATGATTGCACTGACTCCTCCCGTATGGGTTATGCACTACGCTGACAGTCTCGCTACTCGTGGAGTTCGAGGTGGATTTACTTTATTGAGTGATGTCGGTGAAGCCATTCGTAAACGATATTCGAGTCTTCGAGGTCAACGAGCTGGTCCAACAAATACAGAACCAGTATGGCGTCAATATGCTCGCAGTACTTTGGATGCTGTCGATGTAAGTGAATCGTCTCAAAACAGTCTACGATTTATGTCCTTTGCCTTCACTAATACTCTGTACTGAAATTCTCTAACTCAGGCTGATTCTGGCGAAGATTTTCTTATGGCTGCATATCGTGAACTCGCTGAACTCAGACAACATCTTAATCGCCTGGAGTTGCTTGCTGAATCAGGTCAGCGAGTTGGAACTGCACGGAACCCATCCACGGAAGGCTTGTCTGATACAGATATACGTAGCTCAACAGTTCGAGTCAAACTACTATTACTTGTCATTTCAATCTGCACTGTTCACTGGAACTGAAAATGCCTCGGTTTGCGTTAGACCGACGGTTCTGATGACGATGACCTTGAAGTGGCCTTTATTGCATATGCAGAAGCCTTTCAAATTCATAATGCAGCACAGTCTCTTACTCAGTCAGATATAATGAGTGGTCCTACAGAAGTAGATGATATAGCTTCGTCACCTATTGATTCTGTCGTACGTGAGCTAGACTCGCACTGAAAATGCTGGTGGTCGTATCAAAGGTGAATGAATTATCAATGAAAGGTAGAAGACATTAACTCTTTGTATTTTGAAAGAGTTTAAATAAACAACTTTTATCAAGAAATTCCAAAGAATTGGAGGGCGATGATGCGCAACTTCAATCACAAATCTTTCAAAAAAGGACGCGAACGACAACCAAACTTGTTGAAAGCACCCAAACCAGGTCGGCACACTACTACCGCCACAAGTGGAATTATTACAACCATTATAGCACTCCATTCTAGGCATGGTCTCCTGCAACAAGTGCAAAAATACTGCAACAGAATCCCTTTTCGCTTTTACGATGCTCACGTGCAAAAGTGCCTACTATTGTAATCAAGAATGTCAAAAAAGACTGGAATACTCATAAAATAGCGTGCCAAGGTACCGTAATAAGCAGTACTAGTGTTTCTGCCAACATCAATGCCTGGATTTCAGCGGAGGCAATGGTGGTAAAGGGAATAGCCAAATTCCAACGAGTGTAGCGAAGGATAGAAATTCAGCAGATAAAGAGGAAGTGCGCGAAATCATTGCTACCAAGGTTAGTGTGCTTCAGGTGTCTCACATAGTGACAATTTTGTTTTCTTTTTATTGGGTGGCGTCTTGTTGCAGGAACGAACGTCTTGAACTGCTTTTCTCATTATTATTTGATTTAAAATCAATCATTTATTCTTAGGTTCACTGTACCGGCGAAGGGGGACGCTGGGAAACAAATCAAATCACCCCATGTTTCGTCAATAAGAAACATACACTAGTGCGGTATCACGCCGAATTGGCTTTCCTGTAAGTGTATAGAGAGAGAATCCTGCAAACAGTGAGGCAGATCCCATTCCATGCTACGCATGGCCTCACCGTGTAAAGTGGGATGATTAACCTATCACGTACCTTGTGGTGGAACCGTAAAGAAAGTGTTTACGCCACTTTTGGAACTAGATTTGGATACTAAAACCACGTTTCCAATTTTTGGAAAGATGGGTTAGCCACCCCACTATGGCAATGGGGAATTGGGACCGTTAATATCACTAGAAAGGACCAAAAGCCATTCCCATCATATCACTTCGAGTCGTTCTACTTTTTTTGCGATGAGCTGCTTGATATGTACCTAGAAGGTCATGCAGATGTAAGGCCGAGAATGAATGAGGTGTCGTTGAAACGGTTTTATAAGAGTTGTTCAGAGGAACGGAAGTTTCAGGCACAACCGACGCCTTATATGGTAGTTTAGAATTGTAAAATTGTTGCGTAAAAAAGCACTTGGAATAGAATCAATGAACAGATTTGATCATGTTTGATCGCGACAACATTCGCACACTTGACGCAATCAGCGAAAGCTGCTAAAGAGAGCTCCAACTCAATTGCCCAAGAAAAGAAGCTGAAAATGGTCAATGAATATCCTCGTGTCATCCTCGGGTAAGTCCTGGAACTCTTCTGTCGTCGCTTCGAAAGCTCCAAGCTCTTTTCGTGGATGCACTTTCTTTCAGCGATTACAGCCAATTCAATAGATGCAACAGCTAAACCAACATCTTCACATATGCAGAACCAACATGGTATCGGCCCTCGATCTCCTTTTTTCAATCTCCTTCAAATGTCACAAACATTAAAACATTTGGGACAACCATCTGTTAGGTTGGTGGAAGATGGATTGACGAAGCAGACCTGAAGGAAACATTCAAATATTTTGCATCACTCGGACACGATGAAGTCGATTCAGCCCGTGTATACGGAAAGGGAAACAGTGAAGCTACACTGGCCAAGCTTGGATTTGTCTCCGAGTTCAAGGTCGCTACCAAGATATGGTAACGTGCTTTTGTGAGGCCTTTTTTGCTTCATTTGATCTGACGGTTTTGTTTATAGGCCAATAAAAGCTGGCGACCACGCTCCCGAGAAATTGAAGGAGACATTCGCAGTGTGCTTGAAGGAACTGCAGACTACCAAAATCCCGTTATTCTATCTCCATGCACCAGACCGTACAGTTCCATACATTGATACTCTACGAGCAGTCAATGATTTGCACAAGGAAGGCAAATTTGAGGAATTGGGGTTGTCGAATTATGCTGCTTTTGAAGTTCAAGTAAGTTGAGCAATGCAGGCCCTGGTTGTATTCGCTTTGTTTGCTTATTCATTAATATTATGTTTCGTCTAGGAAATATATGATATCTGTGATCGCAATGGATGGGTGAAGCCTACTGTCTACCAAGGTATTATATACTTTATTAGTCACTGTTAAGAGCAAAAATTCTCATACCAAAACAACATTTAGGCATCTACAATGCTATCACTCGAGACGTGGAATCAGAGTAAGTTCCTATCACTACGCAATACCTTTTGACAGCTAACCCAACCGTTTATCCCGTCAGATTGTTTGTGTGTCTCAAGAAACTCAACATCCGATTCTACAGCTACAGTCCTTTGGCTGGTACGTTCATCCGCCGAATCACTCTCTTTTTTGCTCTCAAAACACTCACTCACATTCGTCACCACCAAAGGCGGTCTCCTCACATCCCGCTACTCATCAATAACCCAAACTCTCGAACCAAACACCCGTTTCGCAGGGTCTGCTCAATACCGCGACCGATACTGGAAGAACACATTCTTGGAAGCCTTGGATGAAGTCAAGAAAGTGTTGGAGCCGTTGAATCTTGATATTATGGAGGTGGCGTTGCGATGGTTTAAGCATCATTCGAAACTGGATGTTGCGAAGGGGGATGGGTATATCTTGGGTGGTTCTAACGGGTTAGTATTTCGACTGTTCAAGGGAGCCGGCTTTCTTTGTTTGCTAATGATATTTTTCTGAAGGGAGCACATTCGAGCTAATCTCAAGGCTACTCTATTGGGTCCTCTTCCAGCCGAAGTTGTTGAGGCACTTGATGCTGCTTGGTTCAAAGTAAAGGGTATGACAGAACCCTACTATAAAGCATTCTAAAGCATATCTTTTTTCGCTGTTTGTATCTGCACCAACTCCTCAAATACAAACGCAAAAGTTCAAGGAAATAACCAAATATATTGTCAAGTGTTTTCGAAATGCAAAAAATCTATAGAAGATGAATCTTGCGTACAAAAACTATACTGTTTTTATGTGTGTGTGTGAGTGAAGTATACATCAGTGCTCTTAATCACTGAGGTATTCCTCATCAGAATCCCATTCCTGGGTTGAGAGGTCGACCTTGTATCGTAACAGACCCCCCATTCCACCAAATCCTTTTACAAACTGGGAGCCTTCAGGTGACCTGTTTGTCACGAATTCCAATTCTGCACCAAACTTTTTGTAATTATCGGCAAGCTATTGTTGTTGATGGTGGGAGATTGAGTCAGTAAAACATTAGAGGGTGCAAAAAACCCAACAAATGTTGCCGTATGATTTCTGATGCGTCTTCTCATAACACCTTCAACGGCACCCAACAACGATACACGGCATCTACCACACTGCTGCTTACCCATTCTAATAGTGACAGCTTTTCAATTTGCTCATAATCAAACTTGGCTCCATCCGGTCCTTCACCAGAAAAGTGACTACGATCCTTTTCTTGTTCCTTTGTCAAATGTTTAATAACCTCTTCACCAGTCAGTGGATTTTTCAAGATATGCCTAGATATATCCAAGTTTTCCCACACAATCAGTATTTCGACGGCACCCTGTTTAAGCCCTTCCAAGGTATCTTCTACACCAAAGCAGTATTTACCAGTATCCTGAGAGATTTCATCAAAATACTTTTGAATGAGCTTCTTTTCCTGGATGAATTTGACATTGGCTAATACTTCGGTGGATAATTCTATAGCCTGATTAAATCCGTTTTCCCCACCATACGATACATCTACTAGTTTAATGATTTTGGCCTGCATACGTTGATCAAACATGTCTGATTGTGATAGTTCGGTTTTGAAGTCTGCTGAACCTGCTAGTACCAGACCCGAGACATTGACTTTATCGTTTGTTACAAAGAATTGGACTGCCAATTCAGCTACTTTACGGACATAGTTGTGACGTTTTTCTTCTCGTAGACGAGCAAAACGTAATGCGGATTGACCTCCTCTACCGTGCTTTTTGGGTAGATCGACCAAGAACTTGTGTATGACTTCCCTCGTGTTTCCAGTCAGGGTACCAAACAAGGTACCGTTACCATCCATGACAATAAATCCGAATTTGGAGTCGGACTCTAATAGCTCTCCTAGTGCTTCAGTGTGGAATTTGTTGTCGCAGAGGTATAGGGATGTGTTGATTGCTTTGAATGGCTCAAAGTCAATGTTGACTTTACGTTCTTTGCCTTCTTCGGTGACTATGGTGCCACAGTATATGACTAGCCCGTTCGGTGGTACCTTGTTGTATAGTTTGAGTCTCTGTTGGGTGGATGTGATTGCGGCCAAGACAGATAATCTATTGACTCTGGATTTGATGTTTGAAGCTGTTCCGTATTCGTCAGCCAGCATTTTAGCGATTCGAGATATCTGATCTTTCGGCTATAATTGGAAGGAAGAAGATGTTGAGTTGAGCGTAGTAGAGTAGTTTGAGTTTGGAGCGTTGAGGCTCGTTGGCGAGACAGTTCCTTCTCAGGGACCAATCGATGACACTGGATATGAGTTATGACATCTATACTTTGAGCGAATGACGTCCATTCACTAGCGTCAATCTTGTGCTCTCGTCAATATACACCAAGCTCACACACCCATTGCACTCAAACGAAGCACATCTTTCCAACGAGCTTCAATCCAATTGCAAGTAGGAAGTCTGTAGTATGAATTTGCATAAAATACACTTACAGGTATGATGAGGGATATCATGCTCGTTCCGTTTCCTCTAGCGGCTTCTAATGACTTGATCAGCTTTTTGATCTTCCACATTTCGACATTCTTGTCGGCTGCATTTGATGCGTCCGTGCTGCTCATCGTGGCCCCTACCCTCGGATTAACTAGATTTGAACGTCGATGCGTTAGCTTATGCTACTAATGTCTCCTCTCAAACAAGCTCTCTTCACAAAAAAGAAAATCAAGCAAAAATGACAGGAAAAGTGACTGAGCAGTAAGAAGAGGGACTGACCTAACTAAATATTATATACGGTATGCCTATTTGAACTTTGTTCTTCCACTGTCCCTTGTCTGTAAAATATTGGAAACACTGTACAAGTTTTTTTTTGCTCTGTTTTTGCACATTGACCAAGGAAGCTCTTCTAACGTGAATATCACGCTTTATTGAATTTATTACAATTTATTAGATCTATCAGTCGCGCCTCTTAGCCAAGAAATACACAAATCGGCGCAAATCAAATTTGGAATTTTAGGATGAGGGTTCGGACGCAACCCATAAACCAAAAAGCAACTGATGCTCGAACTTTTGGTAGATGATTCTTCGTCACAACCAAACAATCAACTTCCTCCTTACAACAAAGAGGTTCAAGTTCTAAAGTCTATCAAGCCAATTCCACTCCACACAAGAACAACAAGCAAACATGGTCGCATTCTCCAAACTCGCTTTGCCAACTGTCTTCATTGTTGGTGCTTACGCTCAGGTAAAGTATTTTCGTCACTTGCATTGTCATTGTTCTTCATATTTTCTGTGGTTAAGCTAACCTTTCTAACAACGCCTTTCTTTGCAGAATGCTACAAATACCACCACACCAAACCTGGTTCCAGATGTATTGCTTGCCAACGGCTTGACCACCATCGCCTCATTGAAGAGTTCCAACCCAAACTGGAGCTCAAAGAACTTGACTCTCTTTGCTCCTACTAATGGTAAGCTTTTGAATTCTACAGTCCTCTACGGAAGACAGCCTTGCTGTTTCAGAAAACAAGTCTACTTTCTTGCTGCTTCATTTCCTCACACCAACACTGTTCCTACTTCATAGCTGCCGTCACTGCTGCTTATGGAGCTACTCCAGTCGGCAACGTCGCAGCTCCCCAAGGCTTCTCCGAATATGATGTGGTCATCGACACAGCCGCTACTTCGTCCAACTACTACGTTTTGTCTGCCGCCAACCCGCCAATAGTCTGGTACAATGTATCCGGCACCATATATGCCAGATGGGGAACTGGCCAATCTATCGCAGCTCCTTTCCTTGCTGACAATGGTATCGTTTACGCTCTGAACTCTGTCGTTGACAAGCCACAAAACATTTCAACCATGCTTGCTGCCAATGCCGGTGCTGGCACAAACAGTGGATTGTCTACTCAATCTTTCCTGTCTGCTCTGTCTGCCGCTGGAATGACTGGAAGCAGTGCTACCGGCTCTTTGGATCTGTTGGGAAGCACCACCGTATTCGCACCTTCTGATGCCGCTATGGCCAAATATGCCAACTTCTTCTCCACATTGACTGTTGACCAAGTAAGTCTGAAGACTTGATTTTGTTGTCTGAGAAACAATGTTGTATAGTTCATGGAAAGACTGTGTGGCGAAGCGTTGGAGCACTTAGGCTAACATTTGACAATTACACAACCATTAGATACGATACGTACTCCAATACCACGTCGTCCCAACCAACGTACAATACTCCACCAGTTTGAAATCCTCAAACTTCTTCCCATCATTGGCTGGAGGATCTGTCATCACTGCCACCGCAAACAATGTCACAGTCCACGTCAACAACGCAACCATTGTATTGGCTGACTGTTTCCACAGTAACGGTGTCGTACACGTCATCAACGAAGTCTTGATTCCTAACAACATCCCCGGAATGACCACCGCTACTCCAACTGCCTCTGCTAAAACCAGTCCAACTGCCGCTGCTGGCTCCACAACTGCCTTGTTGGGATCTTCATCTGGTGTTGGAAAAGTCGCTGTTAGTGCCTTTGGATTGGTATCTGCCTTGTTGTTGGCTGTATTGGTACTTTAAGAAACTCTTATTTATTGGGTTGAGTGAGGGCATCTGTTGAGCATATCTATCATAAAAAACACATTTAGAAGATTTATTCACCAAGAAAATTAAAAAATGCTAAATATCCCTACGTGATTTCCATTCCTTATTTCTCTTCGTGCTTCTCGTGTTTTCATTCTTGCTGTGTGAACAACCCCAACTACTTGTACTTCAAAACTCAGCACACCGATCGCTCTAACAAAAGCAACGACTACAGAGCAAAGAGAAAGTGAACCCCAATGCTCTTATGGAACTTTATCCATTGACCTCTGTAGAAAAGTGATCGATTTCTGCATGCCTCTCGCCAGAAGTGTATCTTCCTCTTCTCGCACCAATGGCAGCGGCATTTACTGGAGCTGGTAGGCTATACTCATATCAAAATCGATTGACAGGTGCTAAATGCATACCCCATACTCTCCTTATCTTTTAGCTATCTCAATACACCAAAAAGACACTCCCTTCCTTGTCGTCTTCCCACCACATCCAAACCATGAAACAACCAAACGAATCAAATCGTCACCAGTATCGGAACGACCTCCACCATCAGATCGTGCTGAGAATTCTCGTGAACAGCAACAAGGACAGCAAAGTAAAGAAAAGAAGACGCAGGCACGAACGTACGGTGCAATGTCCTTCGCAAACTCGTTGCTGCAGACGCCATTGATACCTGCGCAACGGAATCAGCATCTTGTACAGTGTAGAATGGATGATGGATTTGGGATGGGGACTGTTATATGTGTATAGTGGTAACTTTTGGCTTGATGAAATCAAAGTTGGTATGTGACATTGTTGTTCGGGGCATCTTTGGTTGGCAGTATAAGCTCACAGCACTCGCTTATAGCGCTAAAATGTTTTGGAACCCTGTTTCTCGTTCCGTTTGGCATAACGTTGTACATATGGAGGGCATTATCTATAAACTGGAGTTATTTTGGTACACAAAACAGCAAAATCGGCGATTTTTTTTTGATTTGACTTTAATTTTTATTCTATTCTGTTTAATTCGTTATTTGTTGCTTATATTTCATTGACACATTCAGTTAGTGTTCATGTCAAAGCTGATGCACCTCGATTCAACGGTTCAACATGTTCCGAGTCAGCAGAACCAGGCGAATCAGTACATGCCACAGCTTCATTTGGTGACGTGACAGAATAGAGCCTGTCTTACGTCGTTCACGCATCTTTTCCGCTCCTTCCATCAGCGACTCACTATTGGCTTTCATTGTCCGTCGTGAAGTCGGGGCGTGACATCACTACCGTAATCATGCCCACGGCTATCGGCCCCAACAATGCCACATCACTCTATGTTTGAGCTGCTATGCTATTTCAAACATCCGATTATGAAACATGACTTTTACAAATGGCGACGTACCCCAATGCACAACCCATTGGCATACCTCATCAGCACCATATCCGCCACCAGAATCATCTTAATATGTGAGAATTTGAGAGGGATGCTTCTGAATATGACTTGGATCTTTCCAACCATTCAAATCCTCGAAGGTAAGCACCTTTTGTTGGCCAATGAAGCAAACTAGTCGACCAATAAGAGACTTCACCTCGCAACTCCAAGATGTAATACAATAATGGCAACCGTCGAGTTTTCAGATAGAGTCTTGGACTGAAGCGCAGTAGTGAATCCTACTACCATTGGAAGCCATCACCATAAATTGTATATTCCTTGGGAGAATCCCGAAGGTAATCACATCCAAAACTTTTGTGAGCACGTCCAATACTTGTAAACGATACATAGGGTACATAGGTGAATCATGTCGTTTCACGGGCATATGATACGTAGGTGAATCATGTCGTTCACGAGAGCATGACGGTCAATTTTGTTCGGTTTTTGGTTTTTGATGCGATTATAATGCGATTTGGCAGAATCCAAACCAAACTGTTTGGAATAGCATCCAATGACATCGAGAGCTTGAGGGCTTGTAGGCGTTGTGGGAGGGAGAGTTCCGTCCCGTTTGTGGTGATTTCTTTGTTTACTTTGAACTTGGTGCGGAGTTTAGGGTCCAAGATCAAATCAACAACGAGATGCGTTTTTATTCTGATGTTAGTAGCTTATCTAATCGTCGAAATATGATATTTAATCTACAAACTACAACATCAGGACATAGAACACTGGCGCAGCCTCAGTTTGGATCTCTCTCTTGAAGATTGCGGCAGCTGGCCAAACTGGCATGACATTCGAAACGTCCAACGCTCCGTGCAGTTTCCCAGGAGACCTCCAGACAGTTGTATCAATCAATTTCTGGGGCGTTTGACTGGTCTGTCTATGTCATTTTAAGATATGAGCACGTGTTTCATGCGTGGTGTTTGTGAGCCAAATTATAGTTAAACGGAAGAGATATATTTATTGCAATACCAGTTGTTATAAATACTAAGATGCAATTTCTATCACCAGCCAGTATATTCCTCATGAACGAGAGCTCCGTCCAGTAATGGATAAACCACACGACGACCCCTACGGAACAAAGTTCTAAGAATCAGCACGAACCCATGCATCCTTCCAAATTCCGTCAGCACGTACCACTCTGCCAAACTGCAAAAACATGTTTTCCCTTATATTATGAAACCCTCCTAAAAAGTCGTCGGATGGTCTGGTATTGGTACCTGTCACCATTTCATTTCGTACAGACGTACTCTCGAATTCATGTGAGCCAGCACGGTGCACTTCGTTTCGTGTACGATCCTGAAATGGTTCTCCGTTGGTGAGTAGTTCACTCCTAGCGAGCGTGCTTGCCATTTCCGTCTACCAAAGCGTCAAAATGAGGCCAAGACACGACAACAGCAGACAGTAATAATCCAAATGCTTACCCAACCAGCACCAGGATACCCACTCAAACTCCTCAAATCAATCCGACTCCCACCGGGCAATTGCCCCTGCAGATTCCCAACGCTTTGACCAACTACACCACCAACTCGCTCACACATCGCCATCGTCTCTCTACTCAGATAGGTCGACAGCTTATCAATCAGATGCAGTATCAGTGCCCCCGTATAGAACGCACCCATCACAATCCACCCCAGCACAACACCAATAACAGCGATCCCATAAACGATAACAGAAGATATGTAAATGTATGCCTGTGCAATAAACTTTAGTGCGAATCCAAATACGGTCAGCAGACCCATGATGGATGCCATGACTACAAAGACAGGTGATAATGCGATGATGGTCAAGATGTCCATGGCAGTTTTGAAGTTTTCTGATTCTCGGATTTGACGGACACGATCTTGAAATTGTTGAGCTTGTGACGGAGGAGCACGAGTGTGTAAAGTTACTAGTAGTTCAGTACCAATGGGAAGGTTTTTTACTTGTTGATGAGATTTGACAGCTTGCAAAACTTTTGTTGTGTTAGAAGAGAGACCTGCTGGGCCTCCGATAGCTTGAGCGATGGAAATTATGGCAGCGAAAAGCCACAATGTTGTCTCTAGCCTCATTTGAGCGACTGGTATTGGGTTTTCGTTGAAAAAGCTTTGACATTTGAAACTTGAAACAGTCGCGCAGCGAGACTGAGTGAGACAGAGATGGACGATTTAATAGAGACTACCTTCAATGGAATTTGAGAATAAATCTCATCAACAACTTAGAGCCGCATCAAGACATAAAAGTAGAAACTCACCTTTTCGGAACACTTTGGCATTTCGGGTGCTCAGTATTCAGGACACTCATCACTAACAGAAACGTGCACATCACTTGCATTCTTTGCAACAATTTCCTGTCAAAATCACAACTGAAGCGGACTAGCCGTGTCCCCATCATGAAGGAGCTCCAAAATGTTGATGTTCATTGTTTTTGAAAGCTACTCATAAGGCGGAGCAAGTCTTTCAGCCAGTATCAATGAGCCTGAAAATACTTGACAAAACCATAATAATCCTAGTTCCATATTACAGACTCGACAAAAACCTACTTCATCATATTCCAAATCTCATTTTGCGGCATCACAGTTTAGACAGACTGTTTGTTACCACGCAGCACAAGTCGATCTAGACATCATCTTAAACCGCATCATTTCCTCTCCTATCCTACTCGAATCTGTCAAATTCTAAGGCTCTCTATCCGAGAAGAAGGGCTCTCCGCCAGGTCGTTTTTAGAATCCTTGTGAAACACCACGTTAACAAACTACTCGGATGATCTAGTATTCGACGACCATGAAGTGAGAATCGTCACTTTCATCAGTCCCTTTGGTGTGTTAGACTCTAGGCATTCTGCGAATTTTTCGCTCTACCGTCATTCCTCATAGTGTCGGAAACCCGTGTATTTTTAGAAAATCCCGTTTGGTGTTGGAAGGAGGGGGACACAACAGAGTACGTGTAATCCAACGTTTACCATTGTTTTTCATGTGTGTATTCAATATATTATAGATTCATTCTTGTCCGTTAGAACGAAAATGTACAACAACGACCCAACATTACAGTCGCAACAACAATACTACCAACAACAGCAACCGCAACAATACTACAACACACCTCAATGGGAATCACAGCAACCCGTGTACACACAACAGTACCAAAACACTGGTGCTGAACGGCCGTATATACGTTCATCTAGGATTGAAGCTGTACCTCACACAAAGTAAACAAAACGCCGAAATGAGACACAAATTGTTTAAACGAACTATGATGAACTAACGATACACATTTTATAGATTATTCGGTATGTAATGGTACAATGATGACGATTGTGGTATCGAGAGATACATGATTTTGCTTGGTTTTGCTAATTTGCGTACCTCAATTAACCAGTGGGAAACCTCGCATGGGCAACCGACGAAACATCACTACAGAACGCTTTTGGTGCCTATGGTATTAAATACTTGAATCATCGTTTATTCCATCTGATTGTCCTAACACCATATACATTAAACAAGGCATAATCACAGAATCCGTAATCCTCAGAGACAGGGAATCAGGCCGCTCACGCGGATTTGGATTCGTCACATATAGCACCCCAGAAGAAGCTCAAACCGCAATAGGAAACATGAATGGCCGTGAACTTGATGGCAGGAATTTACGAGTTAATTTGGCGAGTGAGAGAGCTAAAGTTGATGGTGTTGCCGGTGCTGGTAGTATAAATCAGCAGATACAAGGAGGAGGAGCATCAAATGGATACTCGAATGGCGGTGGTGGGAATGGATATAGTGGAAGGATGCAGCACGGGGTTCAGCAGCAGCAGTACAATACAGGTATGTGGACGCGTCGTCACATCCAAACCCTTTACCCTCTGGGGTTTTATGTAACAACACTCACCCTTGTTTCAACAGGATATATGTACCAACAACAACCATCATCAATCTACTACCCGCAACACCTGCCTCCCCACCTGCAATACCAACCCCAGCAGCAGCAATACCAGCCGATAATACCGCAACCTCAAATTCCACAACAACATATGATGATCCCAAACCAGGTAAACGATGATAATGTGGAGCTAACGTTGTCAGCACCGACGCCTGCAGGGAGCAGTAGTGGGATTGTTGGTGTGGGTGGGATGGCTAGTGCAGAGACTTATGATGATGAGGTGTGAGCAAAGCACATAACTTGGAGGTCGATGCACGGAACACAAAAAAATTACTGTAGAATATAACATGCTGCTACTACTGCTGCTTTTGAGTTGAAATCGTTTAAAAATGTAGTAGTATCACGGTATAAAAAAAGACAGTTCGTTTCGAATCTAAGGATATGTGTGTAATTTGGTCTCTTGTTGATGGGGGCAATAAATCTTTGAACCTAGCATAATTTTTTGCCGAAACAAACTCGCAAGCAGTTCGAGATGCTGATACAAACTAGAAGTTTGAGGACAACTCTCCAACCAAGTACGTTGCGTTTGTAACAATGTTCAAACCAAAGTTTGTCAAAACTTACATCGATATCTCTGTAAACTCAACTCTTTTTTGTGCAATTCAAAAGCAAAAAAACTACACTTTACGGATTTTTTCTACTTTATAAACCTGCTCTCTTTTTATGATCTCTTCGACCCTCGGTAACTCCCTACAGCACCACCACGACCCCCTCTAGATCCACCACGACCACCTCCAGATCTCGAGTCGCGTTGTCCACCTCCTCGATCATCACCACCACGTCGTTGTCCGCCACCACCAGCAGCAGCACCCTCTCCTTCCTCACCACCAGCACCTCTCTCTCCTCTATCACGACGATCACGTCCACCGCCTTCACGAGGTCCATCTCGTTGTGCTAATCCAAGCATAGCAGCTCGTGCATCCAGCAATCGTTCATTGGATTCAACGAAATTGCCCACTTTATCAGCATACACTCCAGACAAGAGTTGTAGGCGGGTCAGTTCGCCTAGTTGGCCTGGTGGACGATGTAGGATGACAGTGTTGGTCACTTGATCCAACGATGCGTTCAATTCTTCATTGATAATCATTTTGGATACGATGGAATATACTGTTGGGATTGGAAGGTCAAACATAGATGCGAGATCTGATAGGCCTATAGAATCATAGTATGAAGCGTATGTGAAGAAGTAGGTTCGTAGGCCTTCTTCTTGGATTTTCCTATTGTTCCAAGAGAGAGGGTTAATTAGAGACGATATCTCGATTGAACGAAAAAAATTTAGTTTCGCGATGGACTCTTGATGTTTTTTTTTAAAATTGTACCTGCCCAACATCTCCTTAATAGACGCAGAATTTGGCATCAAATCCCAAATCTTGATGGACGAAATCAATTCTGTACATTTTTGCCAGTCTCCATTAGCTAACGCTTTGGCACTAGCCATGATATGATCTCGAGTGTTTTCTGGTGGACCTGTTTTTGGAAAACAAAGAAAAGAGAGAAAACCGTTATAGATTGTGATGGTAAAACAACGATGGCCAACAGCACCATCACGGCTTGACACTGCAAATGACTGAAGTCTCATCATCCATTCCATGTAGATTCTTTTGCACTCACCAGTAAACACCTGACGTTCATTATAATCCAGCATTCGTCTAAACTGCTTTGATATAACCTTCCTCTTCATATCCTGAGCCGTCATAGCCATATTCGGAATCTCCAGCAGCATAGAGCACGTCAAATACACACACTCTAATAATTCCAAATTAATATGCATATGGAAGGGTAACTGTCGACTCTTTTCCAGCTTTTCTTGCTCGGGCGTCTTTTCAGAGTATTTCAGCATTTGAATGCCCTGTGCCAATAATTCCTTGGTTTTACCAGTCGATTGTACATCTTGTAGTGCCATGTGGGCTTCTTTGAAGAGACCACATCGGAAGGCTGATAGACCGATTTGCACCATTGTTCGATTAAAGAGGATTTGAGTGGATATGTCTGTGTGTTGGATGGTATCTTGGAGGTGAGACATGAGAAGCAAGTCTCGGGCTTTATAGAATCGATCGTGTAGGGCATGATGATATACGTGGCAGAGTAGTGCACGGGTACGGATACGATCTGAGGAGGTTTTATATAGGATGGCACAGAAATATGGGATGACGCTGGCGGGGGTTGGATCTGAGGCCAAGATTGGATACAATTTACGAGCGGCTTCTTCTACTGTTTGAATGACACTGTCAGGCTGAGATCAAGGAGAAGTTACGGTGAGCTGGCTGTTGTTTCGTCATGAAAAGTCACCATATTCTCCACAACAAAAGGAAAAGACCACAGTTGACATCAAATTTACCTTGTAGTAAAGATGCTCAACACGCCTCATAATAATCTGAGCTTCATAATCTGATTGTCGTAAACGTGCGAAATGTCGTTGCGTTCGAGCAATTAATCCATACAGGGACGTCTCATCTCGAAGTCGATCAACATATTCGGTCGTATGTGGATCAATATTTTGCAATGACTTTGTAAATTCATCGTCAAGACGATCTACGAAGGATGCTACACTTCCTCGTAACCTGACTTGTTCTCCAGCTTTTGCTTTCTGAGAATATTGGAAGAAGTAATCAGTTTCGATGTGCACGAGAGCACCAACACAAACGGAGAAACGAAGAAAGCTGTCTATTGACTCAACCAACACGGCCCAACATACCTTTTCAGTCTCAGCTTCATCGTCGTCACCTTCCACATCTTCAACTACAGAGATGTGAGGATTCTCTTCCAAGAGCGTCAAGAGCTGAGCAATGTTTGCCAGAGTATTACGCCATGCATCCACATTCATATAGCCAAGTGCTGTTGGTGTATAATCGAATTGAGCTGGGATGAGGGCCAACAGCACCCGGATTTTGGCGTGAGGGGTATTGGCGACTTCTTGTAATCGTTTAAGATTTGTGACTTGAACACCCTTGTCTGTGCTCTACAGGAAGGACGCATGCGTGAGTGCTGGGATTCAAGAAACAGGCACAGTGGAAGGTAGGAGTGCTTCATTGAACCCATATCGATATCTCTCTGCAATGCATAGGCTGCAAAAAAAGGCACCAAACAACCTCGTACCTTTTTACCGCGGGCCTCCAACAACTCTCTCAACTTCTTAAACAAGGTCTCAATAGTAACTTCAAAAAGCTTAGGCACTTTACCACCTTTTCCAACAATAGTGAAATCATTGATCTCTTCACCGTCTTCACCATCTGCCAATTTAACTTTTTTAGGTTTACGAATTCGTTTTTCTGACTTTTCACCATCAGCACCATCCTCAGTTTTGAGGGTACCGGCAGCACCATCTTCTTCATCATCAGATCCAGATTCGAAATCATCGTCTTGGTCTGATGATTCTTCGTCTGATGCACCACCTTTGAGGAAGGCATTTCGACCTTTTGGTTTGGTTTTGGCTTCTTCGGCTGCTAAGGCTGCTGCTGCTGCTTCGGCGGCTGCTTCCGCTTCATCTTCGGATACATCGGTATCTACAAAAGTCTGTAGGAAGGAAAGGTGAGCAAAAAACATTCTCTGGCACTAGGTGGATGAGATGACTCTGTCTGTCACTTTTCTACACGTGTGAAGTATTACGAATATAGCAATCATATCAGTACATCGACGCTACGAGAATATCTTCGGCAAGTAGTCAAATGACTCTTGTCAAAGACACGCTCCCAAGATCACAACAGGTGCACCGATACAATGATACAGGACAACACCACAATTTTTTTCTCCTTCCTAAACTCACCTCTCGTAACTTGTTGATATCAGTCTCAAACAGCTTGTTGTGTTTCTTAATCTTTTGTTTCATTGTGCTGAATGCCTTGGCCGTGGAGGGATTCATCTTTTTCAACTTGTCCTTGTTTTCTTCGGCACTCATTCTCTTGATGAGATCTTCTATGCGGACGAGGGAACGTATATAGAAGCGGGGGTTTCCTTCCTTTTGGACGATGGCTGATAGTTTTGAGTGTAGTTTGTTGAGTTTGTCGAATTCTAGTTGGAAACAAGGTGTCAGCAACGATAAGTGAGATGTAGGAGAATGCATTCACATGCTGATTTTGGCTACATATGATGTTTTTGTTGTTGCTCTCCTCATCTGTTCACAGCAAACTCCCAACCAAACTAGAGAACTCACCATTAGAGATGGCAATCCAATCATTAATCTTGATTCCATTTTTGAGCAACTTGACCGTGCTTCTCATATCCTCAAACCGTTTATCTCTAGCACTACGTACAACTCTCTTCTGGTCATCCTCGTCTTCATCTTCATCCGAGTCTGTCTCGGCAGCGCCCTTCATGAATCTGGCCTTACGAGATACTTTGCCATCACCTGGCTTCTTGACACCACCTTCATCATCTGATAATTCTTCGTCTGAGTCTTCTTCATCGTCATCGTCGTCTTCCTCTGACGATTCTTCAGTTGATTCATCCGAGTCGTCCTTTTTCAGGAATTTGCTACGACCAGCTGGAGCAGCTGTTCCTGTGGTCTTTGCTGTACTGGTTGGTTTCTTTTTGAGGTCGAGGGATTCGTCCGAGTCAGATGCACTGTCAGAATCCGAGTCGGAGCCAGCATCGTAGAAGCGAGACGACATTATATTATATTTCGTAGGGAGCTAATTATTTGAGATGTGGATGTTAGTATCAGAGTAGATGGTTGGCTGTTTTTTGACGAGCACTCAGTTTTTTTTTCAACACTGAACAAAAAGGAGCTCTTTGACGAATTCGCGAAGCGAGGCAGGAGCAGATGAGAGGCTCCTACCCGACCTACCGTATATTACGTATAATGGCCCCTGATGCAAGTAAAACACCTTCCTTTTCTTAGCCTTGCAAAAAGCTCAATGTTGGAGCGAGCAGAAAACGTAACGTAACTTGACTATAGGAACACGCTGGATACGCCCCCTCTGTTACGCTCATTATATTGTATAAATCTATGCGGATCGCTGTTTTCAACGCGTCCAACAATCACATATTGCACATTGCTCGGCAACGAGTTGTCCGTTGGCCTTTTGCATTGATGATCTACCAAGAGTCGTGCTCGAGAGCGTGTCATATCGCGTATAATATGCGAACCAATCATATATAGCCTCTAACAAACCGAGCCTGAATGAATATGAGGATGGAAATCCAAACATCGTGAAATAAATTATTTCACGATCCAACACACAAAGCTCGTGTCTATGCAACTTTGCATAGATGCACGAAAGAAATACAATATTACAATCAAATCCAATAGATCTACCATGAACAATTTCACTTAGAAGGTAATCTCAAATTTTCACGATATCTCTTGCCATCGTTACGTGCACCTCCGACCAAAGCGGACCATAGAGCTAGAGTGTCAAACAGACTAGAGGATTGAGGATTAGATAGAAGATTAACATAGTACAATGTCGAGGATTGACAAGGACGACAAGGTGTCTCTGCTTGCTGAAGACAAGGACAAGCACTACAATGCTGAGGCTGAGAGTTCTCCAAATATGGTCCTGTTCTCCGTCCTCTTCTACATGGTCACATCTATAGGTATCTATACGAATTACATACCATCTCTATCTTTGCCTGTTTCCTTACTCCTTTCACCACTAACCACCAAACATCAACCCAATCTATTCGATAGTGATGGTCCTCGTCAACAAGGCTGTATTAAACAACACAAAAGCACCACTATCCTTCCTATGGCTACAGATCATAACTGCTGTCTTTTTGCTCAAAGCCTCTGAGCTCATGGGCTGGATGAAACTGCCTCCTCTAGATATGAGTGTGTGTAGGAGGCTCATGCCACTTATCGGAGTCAATGTTGTGGGGCTGGCTGTAAACACTATTTGTTTGCAAGAGGTCGATGCTTCGTTCTACCAGGTACGATCATGTGTTTTTTATGTTGCGGTTGGTGTATGAGTGGTGGTTGAGCACTGCTCATAAAGAGTTGTCAGGGTTCATTTCTTTGTGCTTTTTCTTCCCGCATCACACATACACGTCATACACATAATACCCATCTCTATTTATAACAGGTCGCAAGAGCACTAGTCCTCCCCCTTACAGTAATCTTCACATGGACAATCCTCAAAAAACCCTCCTCAGGCCGTGTAATCCTCACCTGCGGCATAGTCTGCGCCGGCTTCCTAACAGGAACCCTAGATCGCTCTCCAGGCGCAGTATCCCTCTCAGGAATCATATGGGGTCTCGCATCATCCGTAACAACAGCCTTCCATTCTATCGTCATCAAATCATCACTCGATGTGGTGAAAGGATCCACCATGGATCTCGTATGGTATAACAATATCCTGTCGGCTGTTGGATTGATACCCATTGTTGTGCTGGGTGGTGAAGTACCTACATTGTATGGATTGGTGGCGGATGCCTCTGCTGGTTCATGGGGTATTGGGGGCCTGGGTGATGCGGATGGGGATACGGTGGGCACTATTCCGACAGTGCAAAAGTCATTGTCGACGCAAGGGATTCAGGTCTTGTTGTGGGGTGGTTTTATCACTGTGAGTGCTGTGCCAGTTGTGTTCTGTATGTTTTTGCGCAATGAGGGATAACATTTCGATGAACGTCTTTGCTTATGGATCATGATTACCGGATGATATCAGTCAAAGAATCTAACAAGCCATCGCTACTATTAGGGTATCTTTGGATTCCTCATCAACATTGCAGGCTTCTTGCAAATAAAAGTCACTTCACCAGTGACACACATGATATCTTCAGCTGTTCGTGGAGTGTAAGTGCTTTGCTTGATTACGAGCAAAAAACGAACTGGTAATGCAATGTGATGTCTTTACCCTGTGACTTACGTCTACCTCCTCGTCACAACTCTTTAGTGTACAAACTGCCTTAGCAGTAGTGATATTCGGAGATATAGTCACTACAGCAAGAGGATCCGGAATCTTTTTGATTCTGGTAAGTGTATAAAAGTAGTTGTTTGTGGTTGCATGATGAAATTCAATTGCTGACTTTTTTTTGCAACCCATTCTGATAATCAGGTGGGATCCTCATTATACGCTTACGTCAAAAGTGAGGAATCACGGACGCCACCTGCATCTGGCCTCAATGGCAAGAGTCAAGTGTGACAAACAGGCCAAATCACATACGAAAACTAAGCTTTGTAAAGTTGTAGCAACCCTCGTGCTTTAGTTAATAATTAGACGATTTTTTTGCGTACGGCGCAAAAGCATATCTGAACCAGTTGCCCTGTTTTGTTCATGTTTTGGATCAACTAGACGTCCGTGGTTGGATTTGAACGTGGCAGCTGTACGACACATCTTACGCAACAAGCTTTAAGCATAGAAGAAGACTTGAAACATCGATCGAGAATACGACATGGCACCTCAAAAGCTCGGTAACTCTGTTGGCACTGCTGTAAACGAGGACGGACTTGCTAGTTGCGAGTATGTGAGATTGGGGAAAACGGGTATGACTGTTTCCAGGTACGCATGGGGAACGTGTATTAATGCAATAGCTATCAAGCAACGTCTTTATGTTTCAAATCGTGAAGGATCGCTTCCCTGACGTGTTCAAGGTCGCTTCCTCGTGTTTTGTCCAAACATCAAACATGGAAGCTAACATTGTCGCAACTCGTAATTTCTCTCGTTTGTAGAGTATGTCTCGGATGCATGAGTTACGGAAGTGATAAATGTATGTATTCGGAGCTGTTTTGATGCGTTTTCGACTTTCTCAAGCGGTTTTGTTTTTGGTTCTGTAGGGCAAAACTGGGTATTGAATCCAGAAGAGTCGTTGAAGCTCATTAAATATGCATGGGATAAGGGTGTTAACTTCTGGGGTAAGCGTTGCATTTTTTTGAGTTTGGTTGGATGTTGTTGTTCTGGGTGGAAACGAGTCCTGTTGTTTGACGCATTTTGCCTCAATATAAGAGTAATTCTTACTTCTTTTATGACTGTAGATACTGCTAACATGTACTCCAATGGTGAGGAAACGCCTTTCAAACGATCTAGTATCTCATATCTAACAAACTCTTCCACTAACCAGGTGAATCTGAAATCGTCGTTGGAGAAGCACTCAAACGATTCAACATCCCTCGAGACCAAGTAAGGCCCATCTCACCAAAACTCCATCCTCGAAAAATTTTAATTCGTATTTTTTTCCAAGGTGGTCATCGCAACAAAAGTATACAACCCAACCATTGAGGGAAACCCGGGTGCCCGAAACATGGGTGTCGCATACGACAAACCACCAATGATCAACAAGGCTGGCCTGTCACGCAAACATATCATGGATGCGTGTGATGCTAGTTTGAGAAGGTTGGGAACCAGTTATATTGATTTATATCAGGTATGACACGTCATCCCAGCGAAAAAAAGCAGTCAAAGACTATGTAATGGACCAGTTGCATTCAAATAACGTGGGTTTCGGGTTTCTGGTGATTTTAGATACATCGATTTGACAGAAACACGCCTATTGAGGAGACAATGGAGGCGTTGCATGATCTTGTAAAGATGGGCAAGGTTCGATACATCGGAGGTAACGAGATTTAGTGTATTTCAAACCATTCCAAGTTGCTGACCACCATGATTCCCCTGTCTCATAGCCAGTTCCATGTGGGCTCATGAATTCGTCATGATGAACGCATGTGCTGAGAAGAATGGGTATGTGATGATCAGAGCATTGAACTCGATATTTGAATCATTTTCCGAGAGTCTGATACGGATTATCTTCCATCGAAAATAGGTGGACAAAGTTCGTCTCGATGCAGAACTTTTACAATCTGATCTATCGTGAGGAAGAGCGAGAAATGAATGCTTATTGTAAGAAGGAAGGTATGCGAAACAGCCAAAAAAAGAATTACTTGATATCGTATTGCATACGCACATGGCTTTAAACGTTGTTTTACGTAGGAATTGCTCTTATTCCATGGTCACCACTTGCATTCGGTGTCCTCGCCGCTAAGGATTCAGGCTCTTTACGATCTCAAAACCGTCAATGGCGCGTCACCAAAGAAGATGAAGCAACATTGACAGTACTGAAGAGTGTTGCTGCCAAACATGGTACCAGCCCATCTGTTATTGCCTTGGCTTGGTTGTACTCCAAGTCTGAGATCACGTCTCCTATTGTTGGTGAGTACTATCGTGTACTGTATCAGATGTTTGGATCAAAGAGCTGAGCAGAATGTGGTAGCTTTTGTGTTCAGATGGTTGAATCAAGGGGCTGCAAGGTTTTGGGTTATAAGAAAGAGGGAGCCGGTTTAATCTAATTACGTTGCATTGCTAGGAATCAACAAGGAGAGGTACTTGGATGATGCACTTGATGCCCAAAAAGTCAAGCTCTCTGCTGAAGAGATCAAGTCTTTGGAGAAACCGTACAGAAACAGACCAGTTATCGGACATTTGTAGAATGTTTTGGAGTTTAAACTGAGTACAAGTAATCTACAATTGGTTTAAATAACATGTTGAAAGTGTGTTTTTGATCTAGCTTAGCAATCACAAGCCCGTTGTGTATATTTGCAAGATCACGTCCGGATATGCGTTTAGATAGCACGAACCCAATTGACCCCATTAACACAATCGGAACGTTAGACCTTCAACGCGATCTGTTCCTTTACAAGCAGTTCAAAGTCGGTTAAACGCCGTCTTCACAAATACCACACCTGTCGCTCAATTTGACTTTTCCGACAGATTCAAGCAGAGACGGAGTGAAAGGGAGACAGCTCAAAGCAATGGCGGGCAACAATGCAGCTCCCCCTGCTCCTGCTGACTTTGACCTTGACTTGGACTTTTTGGCTGGATTATCAAATGTCAGCAGCAATAACAACAATCAGCAGTTTGTTTTTCCAATGCAAAGCACTACTAGCAGTACATCGTCGCATATCCCTGCTGCGTATCCGCCTCTGGTACGTCGTATATTTAGAACATGTCGATGGCTTGACATGCGCACAATTGATCTTTTTTGACAAGGCCACTCACTATCAAAATGTCATAAATTTTCACTTGATTAGGGATATGATGGATTCCTAAACAATCGGATGCAGCCATTGAATACTAGCAGAACAAGCTCACCGTCTCTGACTCATGGAACTACCAATGGCGTGCCGCTCCTGCCTCGTCAGCAACAACAGAATTTTGGATTTGTAAACAGCAATCAGCAGCAGCAACCAATGCAACAGCCGTCACCACCACAACCATATCAGATACAAAAGATCCAACGATCTAGTAATCCATTAACTCCAACCATGCCCACTTCAACTTCTCCAATAACCGTCTCCTCATCCCCATTAAGCTCGTCACGACCTGCACCAGCTGCAGCATCATCCGACGTAATCGACCTAACAGACGGAGAAGACGATCTTATGCTCTCAGTTCTCTCAAACCTAGCCGCCAGTGTCCCCAAACGTCCCATCGACGCATCTGCTCGGCAGTCACCACGGCCAGCCAAACGCCGTGATACTAGAGACGTGCCTCCTCCTTCTCGAAGCAATAGCAGTACCAACAATAGAAGTGTGGAAGAGATTGATTTGACGGATTTCAGTACGGGTGAAGAAGCATTGCTCAAGGCTCAACTTAGATTTGCGAAGATGAAGGAGGAGCAGATTGTGTGTTATGGGCTTATGACTGCCACTGTACAGAATTTAAATCAGACGGCTTATAATGAGGCGTGTGGCACGGAACGCGAGATGCCTGTTACGCTGAAGCCGGTTAGAAAGCTTGGTGACCTATGGGGTATGTTGTAGTTATTGTTGGTGAAGTGTATATGTTGAAAGACTGTGTCTGCGCAATTTGCAATTACATGGACTCTAATGTCTTTTTTCGCTCCTAGACTTTGACGTGTATAGTCCAAGAGGAGTAAAGGTATGAGAATCATCAAAAATCCAAACATCTTCGACGAAAGTCTAACATAAGCACTTGTTATATAGCTTGGCCGTATCGATCCTGATTCAGCCAACCTTATGGGACCTCTTTACAATACCAGGATGAAATTTATTGCCAGCATCCCAAAGACTGTTCACAATGTAAAGCGTTGCCTGCCAAACCTGTTTACAGCAAACAAGAAAAAGAACTCACGCCATATTACCGTATAGGTTTACTCAGCCAGTCTTAACATTATAATAATGGGACCACGAGAAAAGACAGGTCAAGTCGGTCGTTTCATGGTTGCTGGTAAACGACTCTTGCGAGTTCCAGCTCGAATTCCTCATGGAATGGAACTCGCCTATCCTCATAACGAAAATCCAAATCCATATCACGTGCAATATGCTTCGAGTGCGGGACAATCGTCATCTACAGCTGCTGTTGAAGAAGCTAGAAATCAAATTGAGCAGGTTTATAATAGTTTGACGTCTGTTGAAGAGTGGGATGAGGCTGAACCAGGTAATGTGTTTGCGTCTGTCTGAAGCAAGAAACGTTGTACATGCCCAGCTCATGGTGGGTTTTGGTTCCCTTAAGTCTGACTTTTTACATGGCGCATATAGATACTAGACTCACTTCCAAACTATATCCACATCAAAAACAAGCTTTACGTTTCATGATGGATCATGAGCTTAATGAAAAATATACAAATGCACTGTGGAAGCAGCGTGCCAATAGTGAGATATGGGATCATAAAATCACGAATGAGAATCGCAACACTCCTCCACGAGCCATGATGGGTGGTATACTCGCTGGTGAGTTGAAATTACGCTCGTCCTCCGTTGAAATTGCTATTTGATGCCTCGTATTGGACTTCATCGGAACGAAGGCTTTATTTTGCTCATTGTTTTGGTCAACTTTAGATGATATGGGTCTTGGAAAGACAATTGAGCTCATCTCACTAGTTTTGACGGCACGACCTCCTAACGACCTGATCAACATGGATCTTGACGACACAGATAGCTCAGATGAGGAAGATTCAGACTTTGCTTCATCTGATAACGATACAGGAACTAGCGCACCAGCAACCTTTTCTGTGCTCTTTCCTCAAGCCAATAATAACAAAAACAAAAAGAAGAAGGAACCACCACCAGTTACACATCCCAAACCAATCAGGTCTCGAGCAACACTGATTGTTTGTCCATTATCGACAGTCTCGAATTGGGAGGATCAGATAAATCAGCATGTTAAAACGGGTGAATTGGATGTTGCTGTGTATCATGGTGCTGGGAGATGTAATGATGCAGAGTTGTTGGCGGATCATGTGAGTTTTAAGGAAGTCGAGTTTCGTTAGAGCTCATTTGCAGTCGTTCTTTTTTCGGTCCTTTGCTGAATCGTTGTGTTATTAGGATGTGGTCTTGACAACGTACAATCTCCTATCGATTGAATTCAACAAGGACATCAAGAATAGTGCTGCTGCTGGCGCCACTGCTGCAGCAAATGGAAGCGGGCGCCCATGTGTGACCCTGTCACCACTACAATCTATATATTGGTATAGAGTTGTGCTGGATGAAGCACATATCATCAAGGAACCCAAGACGGCTCAGGCTAGAGCAGCGTGTGCTTTGAAGGGTGATCGGAGATGGTGTTTGAGGTAAGCATCATACTGATTTGTCGGTGTCGTTCTAGAAATCCTTGGTTGTCAAAACTCAATTTAACATTTGTATATAGCGGTACCCCCATTCAGAACAGACTTGATGGTATGATCGACCCTCACAAAGCGACTTTTTTTAAATGGCTAAAACTCTGACAACTCGAATCTTCAGATTTGTTTTCACTTCTCAAATTTTTGGGACTTGAACCATTCAATAACAAGAATGTTTGGAATAACAGTATTTCGAAACTCATCAAGTTTGGAAGTACTAATGGGTTGGGCGAATCACGACTTCAGGTGAATACAATAGCTATATCACCACATTTTTTGGTACTCCTCGAAACTAACTATCGTCCTTTTAACACGACACTAGACCTTGATGAAATCTATAACCCTCCGCCGAACAAAGACTCAAAAGATAAACAATCAACCAATCCTCAACCTCCCACGCAAAAACGAACGCACAATAGCATTAGAATTAGATCCGACTGAACGAGCGCTATATGATCGAGTGGCTGTACGAGCTAAAGATTTATACAAGTCATTAGAAGCGGAAGGACAAGTTATGAGGAATTATGTACATTTGCTAGAAGTTATTTTGAGATTGCGACAGATTGCTACACACACTGGGTTGGTGAAGGAGGAGGATCTCAAGATTGGTATGTGTGATTTGAGTCCTCGCTGATATAAGCAATTTTTCTGGTTGTGTATTTTTGCCTCTAACCTTCATATTTCTTAGAACCATTACAAGAAAGTAACATGCCATTAACACAAGATCGAGCCATGCAAATCTATAACTTATTGAAAGAATCTGGAGATGATCTATGTTGTGTTTGTGCAATTGTTACTGATGGAACGAATGGGCTGCCTGTGATTTCACGATGTGGTCATTTGTACGATTTACTGGAAACTCTTTTGCGTTTTCAACCCAAACTTTTCTTAACTTGAAATTCCAATTTTATTGAAATAGGTATTGCGATACATGTGTGCAAGCTCAACTGAAGAATGGCAATCCAGTCTTTATATGTCAGATGTGCAAGTCGCCATTGACTACAGGGGACATGTGCAATCTTGGTGGTAACGCGAATACAGACGAAGCCGCTGATAATGGTACTGTTACCGTCAATGGTGGTGGTGCTAGCAGTAGCAGCGGAGGACAACAACAGCAAACAATACCATGTCAACCACCAGCATCTTCTAGCAATAGCATGATGATCAACAATCTTGTAAACTCATCTTCACTATTGTCGTCGTCGATAGACTTGACTTTGGATGATGTTGATTTTGCAGCTATATATGCACAAGCAACTGCTGAAAGTAATGGTGGCATACCGCCGGCAGACAATGATGATGATGGTTTGGCAGCACTAGTGCAAGCCACCGCCGATTATAATAATGCAGCGCTAGTATCCAACAAGAACAACAATTCCACAGTCGGTGGAGTAGGAGGACTGAATAATGACCTTCAAATCCCAGGCACGAGTACCAAAGTACGAGGACTCTTAGCCGATCTCACAAAAGCCCGTACTGAAGCTTTAAACCGTAACGAGACACCTCCTAAATCCATCATATTCTCACAATGGACTGGTATGTTAAACCTACTTGATGGGCCATTACGACAAGCGGGGTTTGGAATTGTGCGCCTTGATGGCAAGATGGCTCGAACTGATCGATCTAAATCACTGGATCGATTAAATCATGATGATAATGTAAATGTCATGCTGGTGTCGCTGAAGGCCGGAGGTGTTGGATTGAATTTGACTGCTGCGTCACGAGTATATATAATGGAGCCGTATTGGAATCCCGCTGTTGAGCAACAAGCTGTTGATCGTGTGCATCGGTTGGGCCAGAAGAAGGAGGTTGAGTGCTTTAGGATTATTATAAAGGTGATAGCTTATCCTTTCGTCGAATTGGAGTTTTTTTTTGTGTCGACGGTGGAACCAAACTGAATTTTTACTGATTCCTTTATTACAATGCACCTACAGAATACCATTGAGGACAATATCCTAGAATTACAAAAGCGCAAAATGAAGCTTGTAGATATTACGTTTGCCGATGCTGGTGGCAAGGGTAAGAAGGGAGGACGTGGTAAACAAGATAAAGAGCAACGCTCGGCTCAGCGTTTGGAGGAATTGAGGAGTTTGCTTATGGGCTAGAGAGAATTTTAGAGAGAGGTTTGTGGTGGTGTCGCATGAGACCGGGACGTGTTGGATGGGTTTGTTCCTGTGCTTTGTTGATAGTGGAGATGTTGTATTTGCTTTGTCGGCCTACATATTATTTATGCTTTTGCACAGGGAAAGGAACAGTGTGGTTGTGAATGAGCGTTTGTCTATATATTAAGTTGGCTTTGCGAGTTACTGCAAGCAAAGTACTAGCAACAATACTAATACTACAAGACTCGCTTCAATTCCTTCGTATAATCTGGAGTTGTCCTACAACACCCTCCAATAACTGTCGCACCACTCGTAACCCATTCCTCTTTCGCCATAGCAGCAAACGACTCGGCAGTGGCTGCTTGCCCATTACTCTTCCACACTTTATGCAACCCATCCCAAACCTCTCCTGAATTCGGATACACAACAACACTATGCGTATCCTTGAACTCGCCGACGGATTCCAACAGCCCCTTCAAATACTCTGGCGGTGTACAATTCACGCCCAATCCCACAATTCCACTCACGTCCTTGACTGCCTCAAACGCATCATACAACGATTCACCATGCGACACGTTACGTGAATCCCTACACGAAAACGACACCCACGCTGGAACACCAAATCCCTCCCTCCTCATCAAATCCCCAATCACTCTTGCCTCAGACACCTTCGGCACAGTCTCAAACGCCAGCACATCCACGCCAGGCTCTCCCAAACACGCGTGGATCCTATCTACATGGAATTTATACACTTCTGCCTCCGTGACGGTGCCATAATCGCCTGTATATTCGGCCCCGTTGGAGAGCAGCGCGCCGTAGCAGCCTAACGATGCTGCCACGAGTGGTTTTTCTTTGGGGAGGGGCGTGTGTATGTCTGGGTGTGACTCGGAGGCGATGGTGTGGGATGTGATGTATGAGGTGTAGTACTCGTCGCGGGCTGATACAGCTAGGGCGACTGATTTGGTAAAGTAGTGGGTTGTTTCAGAGGGGGTGTAGCCTGCGTGGGCGAAACCGGGGTAGGATGCTTGGTAGGTTGATGTTGTTGCGATGTCTATGTTGGTGTTTTGATGGGGTTGGTGTTAGATTGAGAAGTTTTTGTTTTTGAGCGAGATGTCCAACAACGATGCAGATAAGGTAATTAGATTTTATATGTTTCCGAGTAAGCATGTTTGAATGTTGCATCGTGTGTTTGATTAAAGTGGTTTAAAAAGTTCAAAAGTTCACGATGTTCTTTCGTTACCTGCTCCAGCATCGTAATAGGCTCGATGCACGGCCTTGACTGCATCTGGGTCTTCGATGATCATGCGAGCTGCCCATAGTTCACCACTCAAGTCTCTGTCAGCAGCGCAAAAAGTGTTATGATTTGACATGGGCATACGCTTGCATCAAAGCTTTGACCTACTTTTTAAATGTACGCTCCAATTCAGTAGCGAATCCTCCATCTAGTATGGTTGGCGTCTTTCTCTTTAGTGGATTCTTCATTGTCTTGTTCAAGTGTTTGGATTTTTTGAAAATTCGCGAGATTGAAGGCACGTTACGTTGGTGCTGACATTTTAGAGGGCAAGTCGTGACGATCATGTCGAAATCTCTGATATGACGCGTCTTTGAAAGAGCGATCGTCTTCTTTTGAAAGTCTAATTCACCAAACTCTTCCTCAGCACTTTGCACAAAACACGCAAACATAGATACAACCATGACGAGAATCGATCCAGACGGGCCGCTGCCGTCATTTGATGACTTACCAATTGATAAATCGGATACTAAGAGACCGGTATGTAGATATTGAATTGTCTTTGGTTGAATCACAAAGTCATAATGCTATCTAACTTGTAGAGGTTTTTTGTTCTAGCTCAATGCTTACATCTGGTAAATATATTTTTCATGCTTGGAAATTCTCAAATATTCTCTTGTCTTCGACGTGAATCGTGAAAGGGACAGGAACGTCAGCAACATTTAAAGCACAGGCTTTCATGTCGAACCAAACATCTATCATTCAAACAGGGGCGAGGACGATGCTATGGGCTGTCTCAACTTGTTGACTCCAGCAAGAATCAGGAATGCTGCTCTGCTTATCAAGACTGGAAATATATTTCCGTTGAATTGGGTATGCTGGTTTCTTCTGCCAGTTTTTTTGTCACGAATTAGAACCGCAACTACTTTCATATTTCAGGACTTGGAAAAACCAAACCCGCCTCTATTCGAACGCTCTGCTCTCAAACACGATGTGCTGCATCGTCGTAAAGCGACTGCCGAGAATCCGTTGAATACATTCGACGACATGTATCAGAACTTTAATACCCAGTCGAGTACTCAATGGTATGCAAGAACCCATCCCTTGACTGTTGCCGCTTTTTGTTTTAGCTGGGATGAAAACACCAACACCAGTCTTTCCATTCATAGGGACAGTTTCGGCCACTTTTCAGGAACAGCAGGCACATTCTACAACAAGGCAACAGCTGCCGATGTAGCTGAAGGATCCAAAATCGGCATTCATCATTGGGCTAGGAAGGGAATAGCAGGTCGTGCCGTCTTGTTAGATATTCTGGCATGGACTAAAGCTACAGGACGCGAATACGACGCTTCAAGTTCCAAGAAACCTGTTTCGACAGCTGATTTGGATGCATGTGCGCAATGGCAGGGTGTTGTTTTTCAGGTTGGAGATATCTTGTTGATTCGCTTTGGGTGGATTGAATGGTGAGTGTAATGTGCTTTCATGCAATGGTGTGCACCAGTTTAGTGAGATCCTTGTTTGCTGAAACATTAGGTACGAGAGACAAACACCCGATGAGAAAGCCAATCTCGGCAAGAATTTTAGAACCCTTGGATGTAATGGTCTTGAAGCATCTCGCGACATGCTACGATGGTTGTGGGATCATCACTTTGCTGCGGTTGCATCTGATGCACCGCCATTGGAAGCCAGTTGAGTAACGGCTACAAAACAAGGATAAGAGATTTCGGTCGTGTAACGTTGTTCCGTGATTTAGTACCGAAGCCATTGCCAAATCCACATTCAATGGACTTGCATGAGACCATGCTGAGTAATTGGGGAATGCCGATTGTAAGAAGAGTTGTCACTTTTTGGAGGCCAGCAGCACTTACAACGACCGAAAAAAAAGCACGCACTTCCTCCTCACACACCCTCTTGTAACACCTTTCTAGGGTGAACTGTTTTACTTGGAAGAACTGGCCAACTCGTGCTGTTGGGATCGTCGATATGCGGTAAGCCCAATGCTATTTGTTGATTGAGACGAGTTACAATCGACGATGCTTATTTTACGCTACAGTTCTTTTTTTCTTCCAGTGTGCTCAACAAGTTTGGTGGTGAGTGTCAAGTCAGCTTGCATAGCTTATCCTCAGATATCGTATCCATACTCACACTGCCAATTTTTATCGTCTCTGAAAGGTATCGCATCTCCACCAAACGCCATCGCATTCAAGTAGTTTCAGGAGTGTACGACCAAGTCAGTGTTCTGAATAAAGACAGTCTTAAAAACTGGTCTTTCACCTTATTTGAAGTCGGTCCTAGTTGGAAGAACGTCACGCCTGCATGAAAATTCCAAAATTCGCACAGCTTCTGTATTGTGATACGAATTGATCCAGGTGGTGTACTATCTTCGTTTGCACTCCAGTAGATAAAAGTGATTCAAAAGAATCGTTTGTATCAGAGGGGTGGTGTTTTGGTAACACCTTCAGCAATGATTTGGCATGCTTGGAGCTGCACTGTCGCTCTCTGCATCACGTCGTATGGCCACTGCTAAGAATCCAATAATCCCTTTTGACGACATATAGTTAGAACTACAACGCCCGTTCGAGTACTATGTAAGAAGCCATCCCTGGACCCTTCTGTCGGCTTTTTTCGATGTTGTGTTTGAGCATTGGTGTTTGTAACCGCCAGTTCTCACACACGACATGGAAAGTGTTGCCACTTTCGCAGGAACAACAGGCACTTTCTACAACCACACAACAGCTTTCGTTACAGCTGAGGGACATAAAATCGGGCCATCATTTAGCTCGTAAAGTGAATAGATGGAAAAGCAGTCTTGGTAGATATCATGACACGGACGCAAGCTACAGGACGACAATCAACGATAAATAAAGTTCTTAGAACTCTGTTTCTGCAGCTCACCTTGATGCATGTGGGAATGGCAGGGTGGTGTGTTTCAAGGTGGAGATATCTCGTTGAATCGGTTTGGGTGATGGGTGCTGTTGCGTTTGAAAGAGGAATTGTGCACATCGTCTGCGTGTAGTGGATGTGGTTTTTTGAAAAAAGGTTTAGGTACGAAAGACACATTATCGAGGAACCATTGGGTGTAATCGTCTCCCAACATACCATTGCTTGTTGTAGGATGCGTTTGTTTCAAGATCCCTGTTTTTCTTTCAGTATGCTCATAGAGTTTAGCTCGTAGAAATCACGATTTGGAGCTTGAAGATTCCATCCTCTGACGATTGAACGAAACATGAGACACGATTCTGGGTCAGTGGAGACTCACAATGTGTAGATGACTCCCCTGAACACTTGTTCCAGCTTCATCCAGTCATCTATGTACGGCTTCAAATACATCTGCGTCGGTTATTGAATCTTTGTATGCAGAAAGAGTACGGCTTTTCGCACCAAGGAGCGCCGTCCAAGTTCCTTCAAAAATGCTAAAACAACCTCATACAAATCAGCTAGCAGCTGTTTCTCTGCCTCTACAGTTTCTATACACCTTAAAAGTACACATATTACACTGCATTCATTACATACAAAAGCTCACAATACCCTTCTTATCTTTGCTCGGCTCCTACCTATCTACCTGCAACCATCCCTCCTACTTTCTCACTTCCACCTCCTTCTGCAGCCGCCTTACTTTGCCGCCTCAAAATAATAGCCAACAAATCATACACCACCCAACAAAACGAAATCATCCTCCCTTCCAAACATACAACTTCAACAGGCACATCGGCACCCTTTGGTGCAAAAGCAGGCTTCTCGAATTTACTGGGCTTGCTATTGATCTCGGTTGAATATGATACGTCATACCAACAGGATGCCCGTAGCAGTACATCTTGCGATACGGTTTCATCATCAGGTTTGAGGTATGTAGATCCAGAGAATACGAATTCACCTTTTGATGTCTTTTCGGCATGGAAGGCCTCTCGATATCGTTTATTAATAGCGGTTATGGCTGGCATGATATCCTCGTTTAGTTCAAAGGGCTTCTTTTTACCATCTCCAACCATTAGGATGTAGGATGATATCAATTCAAGTTCGGAGGTGATGCTATATTGATTCATTAGTGCTGTTATTTCTCTATCATATGCGGCTTTACGGGTGATGGTTTCTTTGAGATATTTGTCTCGACCAGGTAACAATAGTATAGGGTCTGGTTTGATCTTGGTGACTAGCTCAACATCAATAGTGACTTTATCGTATATTTTACCAATGACAGACCGAGATATAAAAGTCTGTGTGGGAGACTTTTCCAACCAATGAGGATATGTACGTGGTTGTAAATGTTCTGGGAAATCCGCCGAGATGCCTGACTTGGCATAGTCGACTGCTGTTGAATGCAATTCTGCTAGTTGTAGGCATTGATCACATTCAGCCCCCTTCTCTTCACGATCAGCCCAAGCCATATGTGCGTGATCGATCTTGCCTAGTGTATTTTTGGCAATGTAACTAGAATAGTAGATAATTGAATTCATCACTCAGATTTGCTTTTGACTTGTTGAAACACAGGCAGAAAATCAAACCATTAGTAAACGCGGAAAGTGTTGGCACTTACTCTACGAAATGAGCCTTCACATCTCTGACACTGACTGCCGCGACAGTCCTCTCTTTGGTCACTGGCTCATAATCCATAGCTGGCACAGTACGAGAGGGAATCAATCGTTCATCCCATATAAAGACAAATGAATCTCCATCAAGGTCTCCACCAGACAATTGATTTGGTAGTGGTCGCACACCACGCCGTGAAAAGACAATTACATCTCGATGATGTTTGAGATTGTAGATGTTGTCAAACTGGGCGGTGGCTTGCACAATTTGGACATCTCCAGGATGTACTGCTGGTGATCTTGTAATTAGACCCCGGGCCTAATTGGAAAATGTGGTTGATTCAGTTATTCGATTCGTTGTTCTTAGAGGGCATGACATTTCAAAAGATATTTTTTTCATACTTAGGAATTTACCTACCACAATTGTCCTGAGTGACTTGGAAGGGGGTTCTGCAATCCTGACAATAATCTGACCTTCTGGAAGCAGACCAGTCTCATCCATTACACCAAGCAAGTGAACAGCCTTTGGCACATGTATTCGAGTTCTCTTTTGGATTTCTCTCATCTAAGCCAAAAAAAGCCAAGGTCAGAAAAGATTTCAAGTTATCTGGAATGAATGGCTTCGACTCCACACCTGAGTGGCACGATATAAACGAAGCATATTCATCAAAAATGGCTCTTTACGATCCCAGAATCCAGCTTCAATCAAAGCAATCAATTCAGTCGAGATACCCCAGCCATCGGTCATGGATTTGAGGACTGCTGATGCTGCTTCCTTGGACTCAAAGATGCTGTCTAAGCGCCTGACTTGCTCATCCATAAGAGTCATGATGTTTTCTCCTGGCACACCCAATGTGGTCAACAATAGAATTAACTATATGTGAAACGTTGTGAAGTGCAATCTGAGCGCGCAATTTTTCGCATAGTGACTTACTTGACGATTGAGATAACACGGTGAATAGAAAGCTGTCCTAATCACCTCCATAACATAGTAATCCTTCTCAAACTTGATCATATTTTTCCTCAAATGGAGTTCATTTTCGGGTATGCTTTCGTCCACTGTCAACATTCCTTTAGCACCAGCGACTCGCAATTGGAAGGCAGTTGGAATTCCAAATGTGGCCATATGTGGCTATTTGGAGACGTTTGACGGAATAATCAGTTTCAGTGTGCAATCTTGAACTGAAGGAAACCCCGATATATTTTGCGTATAATAATGTGAGTGTCTTACCATAAACTTTCCCAGTCCAGACCACAAACGAATTCCCAACTTTCTACCAATTCGTCCAATTCCATCAAAGAATAAATACGTTCTGCCTGTGAATGGATCTGTATGGTATTCATTTTCTATGAATTTGACGGTTTGACTGAAATCTTCGATCCAACCACACGCATGGGTAGCACTGAAGCATTGCGCCATTCTAAATCACAATGATGATTGTTATAAATTGTCGTATATCACGTTTTTGTTTATCACATATTTGCCTTGCTCCCAAACGTGCAGGATTGAGAATTTGAGAGAAATCACCCATCCAGCCACGAACCCATTGTACAGTCTTCTCATTATCTGGCGCAGAGTAAAACCAACAGCCAGCATTACGTTGCTGACTAGGATGAGCAAGAGTCATTGATCAGAATTGGTCTCCACACCAAACAAAATGCAAAGCAGACGACCAAATACCTGCTAGAGTAGTGCAAGAACTCATAACGACGACCACCAATAACAATCCCATGATCCAAAAACGTAGAGATACGTTTCAACAGTAGATCATGATCAGTCGAAGCCATGCGTTCATGATCTTCTTCACAGAATTGAACTCGTAAAAAGTTGTTGAGTAGCTGCTCATTATCACGAATGACTCGATTGATGAGTTCGTATTGAGGGCCTATATAATGTACAGCAGTTGGCGTCACGATAATCTAATCGAGAAACACAAAAGGTCAATTATAGCTTACAAACATACAGGTTTTTTTGGTTGTAAGTCGCCTACCAATGGCCAAAACGTACAAATTTGAACGTTACTATGAATGAACTTGCCTTGTGAATCCAACGGTAATTGACATCATGGGCAGCCTGCTTCCTCCTTTGCTCTTCATACATTTTTCGATGCTCATTCTTCTTTTCAGCTTTGAAGACATCAGCAAAATTATACAAGTGCTCTTTGGCTTTAGACTTGTATCCAGAAGCCATACGCTTCAAGGCACCAGATATGAGGTCAACATCCCCTTGGTGACCATTTCGATGAGTTGCGTATTCTTCCTGTTGCTGAGGAGTAGCATTAGGGCCGACATCGGGTGGCATTGGGCGTGGTGTAATGCTATGAATCACGTCTGGGCCTAGCATATGTAATATGGCTTGATTTTGAGCAGCCAATGCCTACACGTGATAGACTTGTTTAAGCGGAAGAGTATCGGATTATGATTGCAGGCAGAAAAACACGGTTGAAGCTGGAGCAGTCACAAACACAGTGAAGATTGTGACGGACCCTCAACCATACCTCAAGTTGAAAGTAGATCTTGTATGGAAGATGTTCAAACGTTGACAAGGGCATGTACGTAGATGGAGACAACTCTCGACTAACTGCTAGACTTGCTTTAGGCAATAAGCCAGCTTCAAAGAGTGATGACATGTCACGTATGAAGGCGATGTGGTCATCTTCTTCAATGACGAGATGTATACGATACGTCAAGTATTGTCCAGATGGTGGGCCAGCCTTGATGGCCTGTTTGAGAGCATCAGGCATACCATTCCAAAAGCGGTCTTTAAAGACATCTTGAATGGCTGGATGAGGGACTGCATATCTTTTCGGTTTCTCGTGCCGAGAGTATCGGCCACTGCGTTCTGGTATGTATGTTATGGTTGGAGCTACAGCCAATTGCATGACCAAATGGTATTCTTGTATCTGCTTGTCGCTATTGATTCGAGTTGGTGTAATTGGGCCTTCCATAAGCATCCAAACTACATTCGAGAGATGAGACTTCATGCGAAAGCGGTACGAGGAACCCAAGCGGTAGTCGATATATACACAGCGATCGGGATCAAGGAAGCTAAAGTTGATATAGGTGTCCTCAGGAGCTATATAGTTTGACACTGGAGGAACAGGCCACTTTGTGACAAATCTGTTTTTCAGTTCAAGTAAATATCCCAATTCAAGACTCCTTATCTTGTATATGTCTTGTTCTTGTCTGGACGAGAGATTTCCGATCTCAGATGTCCAATCTGCATTGCTTTCATAGAGCTTTTTTCGGAAGGGCACGTTATAAGCTATCTTTACAGGTGTTTCCCCATCTAGGTCTGGCGCTTCTGGCAGTCGAAGTTGTAGACCAAGATACTGTCCATCGACGTATCTTGGCTGTACCTCGCTTCCATCACCCCATCGTCGCTTGCAGACATGCAAGATGTCTGCGATTTGCTCCTCCAAGGGATACTTACCATGCACTCGAGGAAGTGCACCAGGACCAATATACAGGGTATGGACCAACGGCGGTGTTTTCGTCTTGGATGGTGATGACATCTCTGACAGATTAGCTTTCTACACATGAAGATTCAATGTCAGCTCCAATTAAAATAAGATCACATGAAGATTAGCGGAAAGACGCATCATTGACTTACGATAATTATTTAAATTAGAGCTGTCTACCCTATGAGGCTTTCCTTCTTCATTTGCGGATGTGGCATCCCTCTGTACAAGCTCGCCAAGAGCAAGAAAGTCGAGTCTTTCACGAGAGCTGCATTCTTCTATGAGATCTACTGAATCTATTCCTTGATCTACATGATTTAACGCGTAGAAACGCGTTATCATTCCAAGAAAACTTGCTCGCTGACCAATTTCTTGCCATGGGAATTGGAAATGAAGCTTCCTTGTTGTATCAAGTGACGAGGGATTTTCGCATTTCAAATTCAAGAATGACCACAATACGTGCATCAAAATCTTCTACATCTTCTTGTCAGGCCAGTCTTCAGCACGTTCTAACTCCAACACACTGCCCTCTCCCATTCACGTGAAAAACGGTTACATTTGCCAACAAGAAGTATGACGGAAAAGCGAAATCTGAGCTGGGTACCTGTTGCTATTGGCGCTGCTGCAGTTGCTTCTCTCGGTGGCATTTTGTAAGTTACGTATTGAGTGGTGAAGTCTCCATGTGTTTATTAACGCAACAATGTTTGTATTTGAAGACGCAATAACGTCGTCACCGAATTGCTAAATGTCCTTTCTCTCTATGAATTCTAAGATATGTCTACCGTGACCGTGCTTTGGGTTCGACACCATACAAGAAGAACGTGCCAATTCTAGAAGGTGAATTGGAGACCTTTTCCACGACTATTGCAACCACGAGATGCTACATCGACAAAACCATGGACTTGATTTGTTCCAACAATTTCATTTTTTTGATGTTACTTATTTCCTTACTCTTGATTCTTCCAGAAACGTGCTAATCCCATTTTTCAATCATTTTTCAGGTGCTCAACCTCTAATTGGTCATGCCAATGTACTCGGTCCTGCACTCCAGTTCCACAATGACTGGAGAGTCGCCCAAATGAAGAAATATGGGGCGGTTTATCAATACTCAATGCCAGGACAAAATCTGATCACGACCCATAACGTTCAGGATGTCGAGGAAGTGCTCAAGAACCCTTATATTTGGCCCAAAGCTCCAGACACGAAGTCGGCATTGCATGACTTCCTTGGAGATGGTATCTTTAACGCCGATGGTGACATTTGGCGAAGGTATGCAGTTTTCAAAAAGTATCTTCCTACTGCTAAAGTATCTTACCTATGCAACTTTAGTCAACGCAAGGTCGCTTCCAACATTTTCAAGTGAGCCAAGATGCTCAGCATCTATTATGATCACACGCTCTCTTATGAAGTTTATACTGACACAATCGGTACATAATAGCGTAAAGAACTTCCGTGATCTCTTCACTTCAGTCTTTATTGAAGAGTCCAAGAAGATGGTGGACCAAATGTTCAAAGCTCAACAACTTGGTGCCATCATTGAGCTCCAAGACCTGCTGCTTAGGGCTACCCTGGATTCCTTTGTCCAGATCGCGATGGGCAAGAATCGTAAGGAGTCAATCGCCTGCACTTCCTGAAAAGCCACAATCATCCAACAAATTTCCTCGTGTAGCTGGAGCTATTTCGGTCAATGGCCAGTCTGTTAATGGAAAGTTTGTGATGGAGACAGAATCATTTATGGAAGCTTTTGATTCCGCCAATAATATCTCGTGTCTGAGGATTTTCAAACCTCTCTGGTGAGCCAATCTTTGATTTTGACCGTTTCAAGCCGGTTTTCACTCAAGCCCGACCTTTGCATCCTTAGGCAAATCATTGATCAGTTTGATGGCACCGCCAGTAAACAAAAGCACAACATGAAAGTCATGGAGGTACTTGGAGACAGAAAAGTGATTTGTGCTTAGATTATACTCTACTTACGATGCCTAATACCAATCTAGGACTTTGCTAAAGATGTTATTGCCCAAAAGAAGGTTCGTTTAGCTGCTGGACACAAGGGCCATGATCTGTTGGACCTCTTTATGCAAGCTGGCAACGAGGATGGCTCAAGTTTAAACGAAACTCAAATGAGAGACATTGTCTTGAAGTAAGGTCGTTGCTCTTTATGAGTCTAATTTTACCAAGCTAATCTCTGGTATCTTAGTTTCATCATTGCTGGAAGGGACACTACCGGTATGGTTGGTCTCAATGACTCTGCACCTTGGAATTGATTTGAAATGCCTTGGAGCATCAACAACATCATCATGGCTAAAACTCAATCACAATTAGCCCAAACGTTATCCTGGACCTTTTGGCGTTTGGCCAAGAATCCCGATGTCGAGAAGAAGTGCCGTGAAGAGCTCCTGGCAGTTCTGGGCAAAACTGGTGACTACACCTACGAGAAGTTTGCTCTGCTCAAGTACAACCTTGCTACATTCATGGAATCCTTGAGGTTACATGCGAAGTAAGCAAAATGTGTGGTAGAGAGTTAGGCCTTCGTTTCTCACAGTATTGCACCGAATAGTGTACCATTCAACCGCAAAGTTGCTATGCAAGATACTGTTCTACCTGGAACCAACACTCCAATTCAGAAAGGAGACATGGTGGACTTTATCGTAAGTTGTTGAGCTTGCGATACAACTATATATCTTACTGAGATCGACCATTGAATAGCCGTATGCTATGGGAGTTTCAACTGAGATCTGGGGTGCCGATGCTGCTGAATTCCGTCCTGAACGGTAAGAAAAGTTCTTGCTGATGTTTAAGATAAACGGGCGGCTGATGTTTCCTGGACTATACAGATGGTTTGACTCCAATGGTGGAATCATCAATCCGAACTCGTTCGCCTTCCCAGTAAGCTTCGTCGATTTGCTCAATTGTAAACATTTGTGTCTCACGCATTATATTTTAGCACTTCAATGCTGGTAGATTTGTTATGCTATTTGCTTTTTGAGTCAAAACGTGAATATTTACAGTTTCCATCCATAAGGTCCCCGTATCTGTTTGGGAATGAACATGGCCAAGTAAGTGTTACGCGATTGTGACAGTCAACTACCATGATCTCACTCAATATCATTACTTAGACAAGAAGCGATAACTTTTATGGCTGCCATAATCCGTAACTTTTCACTTGAACTCGTCAATGATGGTAAGGAAACCATTCTGAAGCTTTTGTTGTTACTTGGCAATTATCATATACTCAATACATCCTCCTCAACACTCCAGATGATCCAAAACATTGGGGTGATTTCGAGCATAAGCTTGGAAGGTCCAGTTTGGCATTGACTCTGAATGCTCGTGAAGGAATCGAATTTAAGCTTCACCCAATTGCTTGAACGCTGCTGTGTTGGTCTGGTTTTGAGTTGTCTCTGTCTGATTTGATGTTTTAAAGTTAAATTTTTTACCCAATTATTTTTTCCAAAACTGTGAATTTAAATCCATATGCAAACCACCATGTGTTTTATGGGACAAGAATTATCTCCTTAAATAGCCGGTTTTACTTGTCAATTCACTGATCATTAACCATGCCAATGCCCTTTCAAATCATGACTTCATTTAGAATCATTCAAAGAGTACTCGCAAATTTATTTTTGCAAAGATTGCTGCACAAACAATGGTGCCATGTCATTATATACCAAACATCCTGCTACGTAGGGCCTCTCTGTTTCTCAACCAGGCTTGGGACTGGCGATGGCCACATTGCCACAAGGGTAGATGGTCATTGGCATTCAAAGTGAGCTATCCTTCAAATCAAAAATATAATATTGTTTCACCACGCAATAACCAATGTACAGTCAAATTGTTCGTCAAGCTCAAGGCTGCAACATGCAATAGGATGAATTTTGCACTCGATGCACCACTCCAGTGGGAGAGACCCGGTGTCATTGGTTTCCCAGAAAGAACCCAGACCCAAGAAAGGATGTAGCCTGAAAGATTTCAACCAGCTTTGTCTTCCCCACCACGCCAGCAATAGGCAAATCATTCATTCAAGTCAACATGTCTGTAAAGCGACCCTGTCCACCTCTCCATCTTCGGGAAGCTTTGACTTGGCATCCCAACCAGAACTCATTCAACAACCCACTCAACAAAGGTATCTCGTGTACTTATCTTTGTGTGCTGGGGCCCTGAGGTGAAGGCAGATCAACGTTTAGCATCATAATTCCACCAGTGTGATCGTATGTAGGTCTACAAGAGCCCTGACGACCTGGCCTGGTGCGCCACCCCTCACATTTCTTAATCTGGGATGTGGCTCACGGGGTTGAGAAGCGCACATTTTTAAGCCCACAATCATTAGGCCTTGCGGCGTCGGGCAATCCTACCAAGGAGAGCAGTGTTACTAAATGGTGTTGGTTCAACCAACTCAAGCTAAATTGTCTCAAGCTGAAAACGGCAAAATATTATATGACCTTACTTTCTCTGAATTCCAGCCGAATCCGTGTACAGAGTGCTCAACACGATACCTACAACAAAAGCAAGTGCTAGTATAATGTTCAATCTTTCAAACTAAATCGTCACAAAACTAATTCAAATTCGGGACGCAATAACCAATGTCAAGCAGCAGACCTGTAGAAAGTATTGATCCGTCTGCTATTGGTGGTCTGGAATTTGGTGTATCAGGTCTTAACAGTTTAATACGTGCTGCAGGCGACAGTTATCACAGTAACATACTCGCAGAGATGAGGAGCAGAGATGTATCTCTAGTGAGTACATTTCTCGGACGATAACGCTGCAAGACATCTTTCGGCATTCACCAATATCGTACCATTTAGGATACACAGACTCATATTAGAGGACAAATTGCCTAGCATTAACTGTATCAGGAAGTAGCGATTGATTGCATGTTTCGCACTTTCTAATACAAGAGGGTCGCTATTGGATGCCTTGAAACGTCTTCTACATGAGAGCTGCAAACTCTCCGAGAACTCGCCTTTCCTATGTAACTCATTGGCGAAAGGGAATCAAGCTTCAAAATGGTACATTTTCATATTCAAAAGGCACAACACAAACAAAAGTGCGTTCAGGCATAGTATTTAACTTTGGTTCCGTTCAGGATTTCGACTTGTTGGTCTCCTTTTTGACTATCATCACAAAGCAAAAGATGAGAAAGGAGACACAACACAGCATGATATGATGCCGGCGATAACTCACTTGTATCCTGAGTTTGCACTATATGTTGTTCTCACACGAGCCTGTACCCATTCTACAAGCAAAAAAAAATTTGAAGCGGAGCACGAGCTATTTGAAAAGTCATCCATCTTCTCCTTACCTCTAGCAGTAAACACAGGTGCACTCGCATCTTGTGTCACTCTTGTGCTAGCCTTGACGAGTGGTGAAGCGTCGAGAGGTTTCATGGGTGTGCTGTCGGTTGGGCGGACTAGATGAAGCATTGAAGGAGGGAGAATTCAGCAATAGTTGTTGTCGAATTCAAGCCAGTGTTGAACTGTGAAAATGCTTCAAAAACTCACCAAAATACAAAACACCAATTCGTTCCAATGTTTCTTGATCCCGCGCTGGTCGCACAACACGATGGATTGTGCTCTTGACGTATCCTGTAGGTCAAAAAATGAGTCAATCTCATCGAAGCCAGTGCCAAACCGGAACGACGGCTTGGATCACACACCATTAGTCAAAAACTCAAGACAATCAGCAGTATTTACAACTGCAGTTCCAGGCATATGCTTAATCCACTTCCATTTCTTTTCTGGGGTAAAGATTTGAAGTCCTGTTACCGGGTTTGAGAACAGGATTGTTAAGCTGCCCTGTTTTCAGAATGTTGATTCAGTTCTGATGTTTCGTGTATGCAGGTTGAAAGACGAAGGTTCTGTACATTGTCGGTATGTCCTTTAGCACTAACGATGTGATTGAGTTGTGGGTTAGTTACATTGAATACAGGTGCATGATCAAGTTGCACGTACAGCACATTGTCCACGATTTTGTCCTCTTCAGCAGTGCGTGGATGATACTTCATATATCTGAAAAGTAGGACGAGAAGCTTAAAAAGACCGACTTGAGTAACATGCATGACATTGCAATACCTCAAATGACATTCACTCTCATCCTCGTATTTGTGCAAGTCAAGAAGTGCATTTTCAGGGAGCTGCAATGTGATAGCAAACAAGATCAGTAGCTTTCGAATGATTCCATCATATGTTTTCTGTAGAGAGAGAAGTATGAGAACATGCTGCTGAAAGGAATTGCTAACGAAATAATTACAAGAGAGAACTGCTTGATAAGCTCTTTGTTATCCAAAATCAACTGTGGTTGCGGACGCTCATACGTCGGAGTCCATTTTGGCATGTTGAAGATTTCTACAGAGCCAAGAAACACCAGTGGTTTTGGGTCTTTAGATTCTCGTCAATTGAATGACCATTGCGGAGATGCAAGACCAGGGTAACATACCAATGTTGTCCTTTACTCCACTCGTAGTTGGTCTCTGAGACAGCAGTTTGAAACCATTGTATAGTCCTTTAGGCAGATTTGCAGCGTGATCTTCCTTCACTTTTTCTGGAATGAGGAAGGTTTGCTTGGCCAGAGCAAATTGTGTCTCGATCTAAATCCAACGTCAAAACGACGTATATCAAAGTGAGGTTTCCTCAATTTAGACACAGAATGCACGTCATTAATGTACCTCTTCGTTGGAGAATGGCAGACCAGCAACATAAAAGAAACCTGACAATAGAGGAAGATGTTACACAAACGTACCGACATAAGCAAACTTTGCAGCCATAGAAGATTCATTCAAAAATTTGAATTCATCGATAAAGTTACCTATTTCATGAATAGCCTTGTGAAGATCATCAGCCAACTTTTGCTTTCCACCAACTTGATCAAACAGGGACAAATCGATCAATGGGATGTCAGCCCATTCCACTAACAATAAAAGGCAGTGTTAAAACAAGATCCAAGTCTGAAATGAAATATTTGCTATCCAACTTACAATTCTCTTTGGTAGTAGGTGGAAAACTGTAACTCTTCAAATGAGAAGATACTTGTTGTACACGTTCTTGGGCCATTACAGCAGTGATATGAATGGGAGTCCGTGACTATCTAGCTTGCAATTGATGCCAGAAATGCTAACTTTTCCACGGTTTGAAGGTTGAAAAAGGGCTCCCTTATAATGTCATACACGTCACGCGAAGACGCAATCTCACAAAGCCTTGAATGTAGCGAAGCTTCACATAAGGATTTACGCAGGAAATCACAACCAACGCGTTCATCTGCTTGCAAATCGAATTCAATACTTGTTCGGGACATGACCCAAACGTTGCGAAAAGCTGATTCCAAAGTTCAAAATGGTGTAGTGGCCGCAAACAACAAGAAGGAGATCCAAAACGTTGCTAGACTTACTTCCAGTTTGCTCTTATTATTCCTTGTAGTCAAAATATCATATTCCAAAGATTACATTAGCTCTAGCATCAGGATTTTTGCTCAAAATGAATATCATTGGTTGGTTTGATCTTGCACCGCACCAAGTTCAAAGTAAGCAAAACGCAGCATAAAAATGAACGCAACTGTCCTTCTCACAAAAAATACACATCCTCTAACACAACACGTTACAAAAGCATCTGCAAAACTAACTTTCATTTCCGAGACGCGAGCGGCCACCACCCACACTACAGCTACTGCTGTGACAAAACTAGTTGGAGTTCCATTTCCATTACAAGAACTCTACCGCGCTGGTGATTCTTTGACTTGTCCCATTTTGAACGGTCTCCTCGAACTCCACTTTCCATCAAATTGCTTTTCGCATTTGGTTTTTGTTACAATGAAGAGCATTATAATATTCATCACGTTTTTACTAGGCGTCATTTCACTATATCATGCTAAAGATATCCCTCACAAGCTCTTCGATGCTATGCCAAATAGTCTGGATTCTGTCATCTTGGAGAATGACATTGGACGTCATGCTCTCATCAAACGATATGATCAACCGTCGCCTTCCCGAATGAATCGTATTAGAGTATCTGAAGCACTGAAAAAGGTCTGGGACGTCTTGGTTATCATTGGCATGGGTCCCATTTACGTTGAAGTTTCTGTCATCACGGGATTGTTTACGATGGCAGTAGGAATCACTTCATTCTTGTCAGGGACTATCACTGCAATTCGCTCGTCGGCTATCTTTGAATCGGTTCTTGGCGCTGTGGAGCCAGCATACTTGGTTGTACGATGTTGAACGGTTTGATGTTATGACAGAAACATATCTCGGGAACTAAAACATAATTAAATTCCGCAGTCTCGTTCCGAAGGCGGTTTGTCTGAAGACCTCATTACTCGTGAAGTGGGGCTTCTTCCTCCGGAGGTAGCCTGTCACTCTCAAATGCAAACTCTTGTTGAGGGATAATTGATAGGACATTCGTTTCTCGTAGATGCGAGCCTCTGACATGGAACGCACGAACGAACCGTATATTAGTCAACATAACGATAATTTATTCAGCACTGCTCATAGTGGCATTCGTAGACTACATGTATCTATTGGTCGCCTCATTCGTCAACGATTGAATCACCTTCGCGGTGTTGAAGCGTTGGAAGGACTCGAGTCAGAATCGAAAGCACTGCCCCCATTCTCTCGTGTTCAAGATGGCTCTGGTGAAGGTTGTGGTACTGAAGAACTCCCTGATGGTGACAACAATTTCGGCGTAAGATCGCGTTCCTTTCTTGATTACGTCATTCATATATAAACTGACAATATTGCTTTGCACCTAGATCGGCTTCCCGAATCCTTTCTCTGGATCTGATGTATCAAGTGGTGAAGATGGCACCATTAAAAGTTATCCTGACGGTTACAATAATCTTGGCGTAAAAGTGGCTCACTTTCCTGATTTCGCTGCAGACAGGTCGGCTAATATTTTGATTTAAAACTAGTTTGACACCCGAGATCTCGGTCAGGGATCTGAGTATGGTAGTGAATCCACACTACTGACATCTGAGGGTTCTTTTACGAAGTTTTTCGAAGAGTTTGAAAAGAGTCGTGGTGACAATCCACCAGGCTCTAGTTTGTCACAGTATGACGTTCTGCAACGTACGGAATCACCTGTAGTGGGTGGGTTGCAACATGAATTCAGTCTGGACTATATGAGTGCATCCAGCGGTCATGTCTCTAGGGACACACTTCCAGAAATGAGCAGCAGACCTGGATCTCCAGTGAGTGAAAGTCTTGACGTTTTCTTGCAAAATCATGTCGAGTCTTACTAACTGGCACCTATCGCTACGAACCGCAGATTGGAAGCATTACCCACGATTGATGGGTTGGTTGCATAAGGAAGATACTGGAATGTGATATGCAGACCAATAGATACTATTTAGAACACAGTGAGGAAGCCCAGGCTTCAACCATTCAAGATAGATCCACCAGCACCACCACCACCACCACCACGACCACCACCACCACCACAAGAGGGCACGCTGTAGTGTTTTCTTTCAAGCTTCAAACAAGACACGTAAACGCACGCTGGATTCGCCGTTTCTGCGATTTCGGTCGGTACATATTAAACTCTTCCTTTTTGCAAAACGTCAAACCCAACATTCTCAAAACACATATATCGATCGCTTCAATGAAGATCATAGTAGTTATCCGGATGTTTTTAATATTTTTAATACTTTGATCTCCCGGATCGGTGCCAAAATTATTCCTCCCATCCACTTGAAATCGTTGAAGGCGTCACCAAACACTTTGCAACCTGTTAAATACAATTCAGTGCAATCTGAGCTGATTGACATTAAACATCACACATTATCTAAACACGATAATGTACCAGGACATCTCTGGATGCGCTTCCCAGTATCTAAAAGGCTGACAAAAGTCTCTGACGTGTTGAGCATCATGGCCATTGCTCCAGTTTATGTGGTCCTTGTCGGACGCTTTGAGTAGCTGTTAACTGCCGCTGGAGCTACTAGATCTATAACTCTGGCGATGGGCATGGCTCTGAGGGTTGCTCAGTCTGGCGGGATGATGGCAAGTAATTTGATTAGGTCAAACATTTTGAAAACAAGGTCAACTCATAACTGACTTGCACATCCTCTCCTGTCTTTCAGGCTCACTCTTATCCTGATCAGCAGCAAGAGCAGATATCGTATGTACGTTAAGAGTGTATCACGATCTCAAATCTGTGTTTTTGGTTACGACCTTTCTTGAAGGTCTCTACACGGTAAAATCTTGGAATATATCAATTGGGTATTTCATTTCTCTAATGACTCTAAGCGAGAAGTACTCGCACTTTGGACTTGGCCTGTTATTCTGAAGCCGAGCTTGGAGCGGTGTATTCGCCTTTGCTAATAGCTTTCTATACCCTTCTCGCAACTATCGGGCAATTTGGATATACACCACCATTCTGGGCCGTATATTATCTCGACGATCTCGTGATGCGTGGTCTGAAAAAAGTGCAGAAGTCTTTGGATGCTGTTGGCGGAATCATTAGGCAACGAGTTACTAGTCTTCGAGGTCAACAAGTCGAAACGCTTTGGAGATACCATGTTGATCACATATTGTCAGAGACTGAGGTAAGCTGCGTGACGCGATGCTGGAACTTGTCTCATATTGCCCATTCCATTTTACTTGAATTGAGCTGACATATTTCCACGAAATAGACTGAAGACGATGAGGATGATATCGTCATTCCATATAATGTAGAACCTCAGGATGATCATCACTCGCTGACTCGATCAAAGATATTCGATGACCCTCACAGAAGGCCCCGACTGTGTATATTCATCTGTTGGCTCCGCCTTGAGTGAACCAGACTGGCCAAAAGCCATCTCCAGAGATGGGGCCTGGAAACGACTCGTGCAAGGGTAATGGAACCCTTTGCACGGTGTGAATCGACACTTGGCAGCATGAATGCTATTACAGCTCCTACGGGATGGTGCGTTCGATGATGTCCGTTCTGAGATGAGCATTGAGTACGGAGCTAAACTGAGTACTTCGTACTCACATATTGGCAGTTCTGTTTGTGGTGGTTGACAATGCTTTCCCATACGATGGGAGATCTGAGAGATCTAACTAACCCTGTTAGTAGTATTGAAGCAATTGAATGCATCAGCAGCAGATAGGCAAAGCAGCATAAATATTATTTCATCCTTTCCAATAGCAGTTTGTTGTCACCCAGTGTCTTGTGAGTTCTCACAGCGCATTGCTGCGAATACTCAATACCGATCGGCCACAATTTGATATGGCAGGGCAATTTAATTAATGGTCAACGCTTCAGATACACTTTGAACGCGTTTCAGCTCTCCTCAACGACAACTGCTATGTGTTGCAGTTCCCTTTTTTTTTTTTTTTTGCAAAACTTCAAATATACTACATTCGACAAAGATGACTATATCAGCTAGTTCCAGTCGACTCAAGACAGACTTGCGATCATTTAGATCGATAGAGCCCATCTTTGCTAATGGTCGAGCAGCGATTTCCAACGAATGCCTGTTTTCGTCAGTCGGCGAGAATGTCGTGATTACAGACCTATCAACCGGTCAAACAAGGCGTAAATTAGAGAGTGTATGTGAATTATTGTGATGATTTTGCTCTGATCGCTACTACGAACATAGAATCTAACAATGTAGTTGCTACTTAGGATTCTGATCAACTTACTTGTTTGGCAATCAAACCAAATGGACGGCACCTCGTCACTTCTGCACGTAGCTTGCTGTTAAAGCTATGGGATGTAGAGTCGGGAGAGCTTGTCAAGAGTTGGAAGGTGTGTTTCATGAGACCCCATGCAAGCTGTCTACCCGGATCTTACTTTTTTTCGCATCTTACAAAAGGCACACGAAGCTCCCGTTCTATGCATGGACTTTGATCCAACGTCAACTCTCTGCGCTACAGGATCAGCAGACTCGACAATCAAAGTATGGGACGTAGATCAAGGTTTCGCAACACACAATCTCAAAGGTCACAAAGGTGTCGTCGCATCCGTCAAGTTCCACCCAGACAAGAGGAGAATACGACTAGTCAGTGGATCTGACGATGGCCAAATCCGAGTATGGGACTTGACATCAAGGAAATGTATAGCAGTCTTGGATACCCACGTTAGTGTGGTTCGTGCACTGGACTTTAGTTTGGATGGTCGATACCTGCTGGCTGCTGCCCGTGACAAGGTCATGACTGTCTGGGATGTATCATTGTCACCGCCACAACAAATACAGACTGTGCCCGTATATGAAAGTATAGAAGCTGCTGGATTCTTGGTAGCTGGTACACCCATTCCTGGAACAGAAAGGACAATGGTGGGCAAGAAGGATTTGGTTGCCTATTCGGCTGGTGAAAAGGGGATTATTCAGCTATGGAATGTCCTATCGGGCGAATGTATATATGAACAACAACCTCAAAAGCATGCCAAACATACCATCACAGACATCATGTACGTGATAGAGAATTCCTCGATTTTTTTAACTCATGGGTGCTCCTATTGTGCTGACTCAATAATGTTTAGATACGACAAAGAATCCAACCATCTAATATCAGTCACATCCGACTTTAATCTCCTCTTCTTCTCCCTTCCCGATTTCACTCAAACAAGGCAAATAGCCGGATACAACGATGAAGTCATAGATTTAGCATTTGCTGGACCACACGGCTCTCATCTTGTCGTTGCGACTAACTCGGAACAGTTACGAGTCTATGACTTATCGAATGGATCAGTCGATGTCGTATATGGACATTCTGATGTAGTCATTTGTATAGATGTCATTCGAGCTGGTGAATACGATCTGTTGGCTACGGGTGGGAAGGATGGGATTGGGATGGTTTGGAGGATGTCCTTTGATAAGGAGCTGAATGTTGATGACAGGTATGTGAGATCTATCGCAATGGCGTAACATTCAGGTTTTTTGCTCACCATGCCCCGTGTAAAACCAGGTATCAGTGTCTTGCACAAATGGTCGGCCATACAGAATCAATTGGTGCTATTGCTATATCACGCAAGGGCCTCAAGTTTGCTATAACTGGATCACAAGATCGTACCATAAAGATGTGGAATCTTTCAACCCTCAGTAAGACTTGTGCAATGTTGGAAACTTCCTTTTTTTTGTGGTTCTAAAATCTTTCCTTTGCAATAGATTTGACTAACACAACCGAAAATCCTGAAAAGGCCAAGGCCTTGTACACATTCAAAGCTCATGAAAAAGACATCAACTCAGTAGCAGTGGCTCCCAATGACAAAGTATTCGCTACTGGGTCACAAGACAAGACACTTAAGATATGGTCTGTCGAGACTGGGACATTACTTGGAACGTGTAATGGCCACAAACGAGGTGTATGGTCTGTTGCGTTCTCGCCGGTTGATCCTACAGTAGCGTCATCTAGTGGTGACAAAACAGTCAGGATATGGTCGTTGACTGATTATTCGTGTCTGAAGGTAACCAACCAAATGGTTGGGAATCGTGTTTTTTTTGCTCATTGCTTTTCCCGATAGACATTTGAAGGCCACTTGAACTCTGTCCTTCGAGTCCACTATATCACTTCCGGTACTCAACTAGTGACATCTGGATCAGACGGACTAGTGAAAATATGGAATATCAAAACGAACGATTGTAGTACCACTTTGGATGGTCACGATGACAAGATATGGGCTTTGGCTGTTCGTCGATTGGACGATGGTTATGAAGATGTTGTTGCTAGCGGAGGAGCCGATTCCAAGATTGTAGTTTGGGAGGATGTGACGCAGATTGTTGAAGAGGAGAAGGAGAAGGAGCAAGCTGAACGTGTGGAAAAGTAATCATTTGTTGTTTTTGTAGTCAGTTTTTTGTCCGGTTGATGATAACTTGACACTGTCCTTCTGCCATGTAGGGAACAGAATCTTCAAAACTACCTCCAAAGACGAGACTACAAATCCGCTATTGAACTAGCACTACAATTAGACCAACCTGTTCGTCTTCTCGAACTCTTTGGTAAAGTGCTTGACCAACGAACATCTGCTACAGCTTGTACCGGTTCCGAAGCAGTAGATCAAGTCATTATAAATCTTTCAGATCCAGATCTCGTTAAACTGCTACACTACATTCGAGATTGGAATACCTCGAATCGAGGATCCAGAGTCGCTCAATCTGTGCTGGGAGTTGTTGTTAGGTTTATACCTATTGAACGTGTGTTGTCCCTATCTAAAATCAAGGAGGTAAATCTGCTATCCATATCTCATGCGTTTTTTGCCTACCTTTAACTCAATTGGCTGGATTTTAGATTCTTGAATCACTCATACCGTATACAGAACGGCATTACAAGAACATGGATACGCTACTCACATCTTCGTATATCTTGGAGTATACGCTTCAATCTATGGATGGGCTAGTGCCGATAGACGATGAAGTAGCACCGTTGATCCTGCTAGATGCTCAAGAAGATGTAGATATGAAGGATGGAAGTGATGAGGATGATGAAGAAGATGATAAGGATGAAGAGATTGTGTAGAATAAAGCTAGAGCTGTTACCTCATGACATATGACTTTGCTGCCTTTTTTGCCGTTTTTTTGCATCTGTAAGACAGACTTCACCTCATCTTGGATACGTGATGCTGTTAGTTCGATATTGCCTCTTGAAAAGGGTTATGTCTCACAAAGTCAGTTGGTACTTAGGATTCCAAACAAATAACATGTTTCGCAACAAAACCGGGAAGACTGCATGTTGTCACATTTTGCTATGCGATCTATTAGATGAGAAAGGCGGGAGGGCTCAATAGGAGTTGAAAGGTATCTTCTAGAAGTCACTGTTTACAGAGTCTATCAGCAGGAGTTGGTTTGTGTGATCTCAGAGAGGCACATGAACACTCCTTTTCTGGGTTATGGACTTTATCCATCATCAGCCGTATGCACTAAAACATCACGACGTAACCTCAAAAGTTCTATAAAATGGACTGCAGTCATGGATCCTCATGTCAATATCCTCCACGCACCGGGCGTTAGTTTGGATAGCCGAACTTGTTGGCTGCTGGACCCCTGACAAGAATGTGATTCTGTTTGGGACGTGTCTTCGAGTCTATCGCAACGAATACAAACTCTGCCTCTTATACTACGACTGCTGGATTCTTGGTCGCTAGTACACCAATTCCACCAGACAAAATGATAGTGGACAAGACGGAGTTGATTGCTTGTTGAGGTGGTGACAAAGGAGCTATACAGCTATGAAGTGTCCTATCAGGAGAATGACAACACGATCACGGACATCAATGTATGAGTGAACCTAACAATAGGTTGGGGTTTCGGTCCTACCTCAATCTTGGTTAGTTCTAACTCAATAGTGGATTTGTCCATGTCAGACCTTCAGACGTATTCATTGGTGTTGACATATTCTTTGACTGATTTCCCCGTCTTGAGGTAAGAAAGCGTGGTTGTTTGCAAGGGCGTATGAAGTTGTCCGGTGTATTCATTCTTTATTGCGCTAGAAATTCGAAGGACACTTGAACGCTGTCCAATAAATCACATCCGGCTGTCCAATAAGTCACATCCGGCATTTGACTAGTTTCATATTCATTATTTGACTAGTGTTGCATTCTGTTTCATGATGGTAACAATGACAACTCACGCCTTTTTTCTGGCTGCTCAAGCTGTGTGTCGATTATATGATGAAAATGTAGCTGGTGGTTAAAGAAGTGATTCCAAGATTGAAGTTTGGGAGGAAGTGAATTAGATTGTAGAATGGAAGAGACAGAAGAGGCTAGCTGAGCATTGAATATTCAATATTGATTATAGGACTGACAGAATTTTTTGCCAGTCTCTGAAGTCGCCTTCACTCACGTATTTCACCGCCTCTGGAAGGAATCGTACATTCTTGTGTTTTTGCAGGCCCTTTCTCACCACTTTTCGTAGATTTTCGAAGTGCTCTTATTCGTGGAGTGGACGATATTACATGGATACGCTACCCGCATCCTCTGACATCTTGGAGTTTACACTTCAATTTATGGATGGTCTATGTCAATTAGATGTTAATGTAGCACATTTGATGCTACTAGATGCTCCATAAACAATACGATGTTGGTATTTAAGATGGAAGTGATGTCTAACGATACGATGAAGAGACTGGGCGGAATCAACTCGGGGTGTTTCCTCATCTTTCCAATCCTTTTTCTCGCGTCGCACTTGTGTGAGTGGTGGTGGGTTCAGGCCGAAGGAGGTATCGATGTATGTGGTTAGAGTTGCTGTTGTAGTTGGTGTTGTGCTGCTTGGTTAATTTAGGACTTGGAAGTATCATGATTATGTGTTTTATTTGTTTCTCGGTCGAGAACCCACTCCGCTGGATTCGGTTTGACATGAAGTGCAAACCCATCAATACTTCGACTTTATTTTGGTTTGGGATGCTTTATACAATGCAACCAGCTTATTCTCATAACGCAGATTTGCAACAACTTTTACTCAAGCGAAGAAAGTGCGATTCTACAAAGTCAACAAGTGATTCAAAACTATTTTATATTTTGTTCTAAACTGTATTTCTGGTTTTTTTTACATTCGATGATTGCTAGAGGTTTGGGCGATGTTTGTCCAAAAAGTCCGGCGTCGTTATAGGCGACCTGTAACAAGGTCCATACACATGTTCCTAGACTAATCAATAATACATAGATTTCAAAAGTTTTAAAGAAGTTGGATACCGGGCGGGTACTTGAGAAATTACTATAAAAAGTGGACATCACCTAAAACGAAGACTGCCTTTTATTTTTCATGTTACCAAAGGGTAACCAGCCGACCATGGCTTTCCACCATTTCCATTTGCCATGTTTTTCCTTGTCATCTCGTTTACGTTTGATGCCAACCGAGCAAGCGTTTGAGGCGGTTGGGCCAACAGTTCCCACTTCAGGGTATATCTGTGCCAATAATGAGGATGGTGGTTGCGTTTTCAGATGTCGGTTGAAGTATCTTCGTAGTATCCTATCCTTGAGGCCACCAGAGAGCAACTTGTCGTCCGACCCTTTAACGCTAGTACCCAATTGAACACTTCCAACTACTTGGCGTTGTCCCTTGTCCAGAGTTTCCTCAGTAGCAGGTACGCATATAGCATTTTCGATGCTGGGGACTGTTGATGAAGAAGAGCTGTCATCTGCCGATGATGCTGTTGATGATGCGGCCGAGTAATCTGATTCTCCTGAGTCCGTATCCTTGACTACCGATTCGGGTGAAGCTGATGGCACAGCACCAACAACAGCCGTAGGAGCAATCCAATCGTATATATTGTCATTTGAGTCACCCAAATTGACCAATACTATCAAAGAAGCTCGGTTAGCGAAAACATAGTCAGACCAATGAAGCACTCTTGACATGCTACATACCTTGCAACAGCACTGACTTGAGATATTCATAATCTGGTGCTTGTTCGAATTCCAATGAACCAGTATGCGAGAAGAAATCTTTGAACTCGGCTACATTGAATGAGTTAGTCTTAATGTTCCAAATCAAATACTTTCAAAGTTTTACCTGGACACCCAGCACAAAGCTCATCAATAGTAATAGTCGATTTCATTTTGGCAATCTGCTTGTCTACAGCCTCGTCATCATCTTCTGGATCTCCGAGGACTGACCATGGCAAAGAACGACGTAGCATATAGATAAGCGTGTATCCCAAAGATTCCATATCGTCACGGCGTGATTGTTCTAAAGGAACAAGAGCTTGTTAGACACACTAGGGACAATAAAGCATAAAACTTTACAAAAATACATACCACATCCGTTGTGAGCTCGAGCAGACATAAACCACGGAGTTCCAATGACATCTACACATGGCTGATAGCGGACATGCTTCTTGGTTCTAGAGTTGAGGTACGACTTGGCGATACCGAAGTCCAGAATGTAGATGGTGGGGTTGCTTCTGTCTCGACCGATAACAAAGTTGGCCGCTTTGCTGTCGCGATACAAGTATTTGTTTCGGTGCACACTTTCCAAACGAGCAATCTATCATAACAAAGCAGAGAGGTCTCGTTAATACTTATTTCCTGTGATATTGAACCTAAAAGCAATAACTTACGAGTTGAATGCCAATCATGGCGACGGTCTTGATGGAGAAACAACCACCGCAGGCCTTCATCAAGTCTTCTAAACTAGGTCCCAGCAGATCCATAGCGAGATACACATCATCACCATCTTCATCATAAGCATAGGCTCGTGGAATGCCAACTACAAAGCAACAAGTCATTAGCAACGAACGAGAGAGAAGATTGTACGAAAGTACAAGAGTACATTAAAGACTGCTACTGAGAAGACTGGAATTAAGCTTACCCTCACTGCTCAAAACTTGATAAACCTTGTACTCGTGCTTCAACTCACAGCGGCCTCTTACGCGCTTTTGCATTTTGATTGCAAGAGATTCACCAGTCAACCTATTGACACCTAATCGGAATAAGGGTGTGAGGGAAAATGCACATGACCTTATACTGGCGCTAGACACCATTCCACAAACCCAAATAGAGAAGAGACAGAAAGCAGGCTTACCACTATAAACTGTTCCATAACCACCAGATCCCAGCTTATTTCCCAACTCGAATTGACCTCCGAGAACTCTGGTAGATTCCACACTAGGCATATCCATCTAGATTTGTGTAAAGGTTCAAGTTTCTTGTTAGACTATGGTTAAAGCAACAAGAGCAGGTTGTATCAATGAGGTCTTGGAGCCAAAGCAACTCGGTATAGACAATCTAGAATATATCCTCTACACTTTCTCCGCCTTCTTTCCTCCTTTTTGGACCTTCTCTTCATGAAATTCCCAAAATTGAAACAAAAACACACAAGTTCTGATGCCAACCCAAGTGATGGTGTCGTTGATGGAGAACTTTGAAAGGAGACGCGGTACATACCATGAGATTGAATAAGGATGCAGATAACGTTGCTTTCTGGAGATTTCAATTTGCTTTTGATGTAGTTGTCCTGTTCTAATCAAAAAGGTGTTTGTGAGGTTAGCGGTGAATCAAGATTCCAATATGAAGCGAATAAGAAAAAGGACAAGGAAAGGCGAGATATCGAGTATGTAGTTACCTTACTAGTATCAGCACCGTTGCGTCTTCTGTTCTTGGGCTTATAAGTCGTCCTTCTTATAAGCTGGTTTGTGCTGAATGAGGGAGCGAGTGTATGCAGCAGCAGAATCCAATAGGAGCTATCTGCCGAACAAAGCAGAGTGCTGCTGGTGGTGTAAACACGTGTAATCTCACGTAGATTACTACCGAGACTCTATACCGCCTTCCATATCGGGCACTCACAGTCTGTTCAAGATCAGACTGCTGCAAAATAACGTTTTAGAGATCGTACAGCTACGAGAGACCTTATACTAGCAAATCCACACATTCTGTGGAGGATTGGCATGTGCTTGACACGTCGACCAACATTTAAACAGTCGAGATCAAATGTTGTCGTTTCCACGATTCACGGCAAGAAAGGAGGTTACAAAACCGTGCCATTCGACGTGATTTCAACGTGGAGCGTCAACGAATAGCACTCCGAAGATAACGACCGTCGAATATTCCATTGTATTGGTTTATGTTTGGACTAATTCGTGCAGAGGATGTGCCCACCGAAATATGACATCTGGTAGCGGTTCAACATGCTGACAGACGTGGATTCACGAATATCCTCGTCTCTAAAATCCGATTTGAAAGTATTACTTCTCCACCGTCATCAAAACCAAACGTTGATTGCGTTTACAGAAAAACGCAGGACACCTTTCTGCCGGTCGCTCTAAGAAAGTAGGCTCTAGACGCCGCATTTCAAGCTCTTATGTGATTTATAGTATTTAATTATGAGTTTGACGCGGCTAAATTTCCGTTGGACTGCTCAAAAACTCACTGAACGCTTGTCAAGTACGTTGAAGGAGGCAATGAATGCAGGACGATGGCGTGGAATGACAGCTTGTCGCACTTGGAAGATATAGAGAATGTAGGCTTGTTTCAGTATGAGGTGTCTCCTGCTAGTATGCTCGTGTTTGTGCATGAGCATCGCTCAATTGAGGCAGTTTGCCAAATTATTTGCAAAATCGTTCAAGTAGTGCTACATGCACGGAATTTTTGGAACGTTTTGAAGGATTCGTGGATTTACCTGTATGGAGAAACCGTTTCGATGGCTTTTCTTGTTTGTTAGAATCCTCAATGTGTGCGTTCATCGTCGAATCTATCATCCTGTGTGCTTCAAGCTCAAACACACTTCATTTGGAATACAGACACGAGAGAGTGGCCAATACGGAGACTCTGGAGTTACAGATGTCGCTTAATGTCTATGAAAGTTGCCTCAGTATCGCAGCAAGTTACGTTTGTTAAGTAGACTGGGTATCAGGTGCACACAGCTCAGTGTGCGGAACTGGGCTGGTGTAATAGTGCCTAATTCGACAATGGATTCAGTCATTCAAGGTTTGTAATTTTGTTCCCAGTAACGGGACTGGCAATGGGACGTTTGCTGCGATTAGGATTGGATCTGGGATTAAACGGCACGTATTTAGCAGCGACTTGCCACATCAGGTGTTCTTCTACCCCTGTCTTCTACTCTATGCAAACAAGCTCTATTATATAGTATTTACAAAAAAAAACCTCATCATAAGTTATGCTTGTGTGAATAATTTATACATTCTCTACTTTTTCGGGCAGCGCTCTTAGAATCCAGCCTTCCTCGCCTTCTTCTTCTTCGGCTGACTAGCCGTCCCTTGACTCTGACTAGGACTCTGACTACCTCCAACAGATTCATCACCTAAAAGACTACCCAATCTCGACATTTGCGACATATGTAATGACTGAGACGCCAATAAACTACCACTACCACTCCCACTAGGCCGAGATTGCGACAACACAACCGGTAGACTACTACTACCACTACCAGCGTTATCATCAGCTTGCTGCGATTGTGTAAGCCTGCGTTTCAGTTTGGGTGGCGTAGCAAGGTTACTATTCAGTGGTAGCGTGGTTGGTACATCCTCGCCATCGTCTATATCATCCTCTTCGTTACGATGTCGAGGTGTTTGAGGCACATCATCAACATCCATTTCTGTAGCCAATGACGAAGGTGCAACAGCAGCAACCAGAGGTTTACCAGTCTTGGGATCAATTTTGATATACTTTTGAGCAGCATTTGATCTCTTGTGCATTTTACTGACTGGTGGTAATCGTCCTGTGTAGTAATCGTCGACCTTCCATATCTCAGATAAGCGGGTAGCCATTCGTGACATTTTGAAGGTATTGTTTGGTGCTAGTGGTGTACTGTACATTCTGTCTGCTGCTGTTGAATCTACTGTTGCTGTAGCTGTGCCGTCATTATTATTACTCTTATTGACAAATCCAGAAATCGTTTCGGGAATAAAGACTCGGGTGCACGATGCGACATCAGCTTGTGCCCAATCTAGTGCTATACGTGTGCGTTCTGCATCGTGATTGACTGGATTAAAGACAGACAAGACCAGGTCTCGAGAGTCAGTAGCATCGTCATTCAGTAGCAGTGAGCGTAAATCCAATTCTAGAGCTTTATAGCCTTCTGGTACTGTTGGCTCTACAGGGATATGTCTCATGGAATGTTTCAGAGCTGGAGAGCCTCTAGATGTTGGTTTCGAGTAGAGCAATTCGTGGCTCAAATAGCAGATGAAGAGAAGATGAATATCATCAAAGGAGAAAAAAGAGTGACATGTGTCGGATGACTTACTGCGTATACACAGCCGAAGTCACCTCTTCCAAAGCTTCCGGAACTGCATCATCTTCTACAAGAGCAGTCTTGGCATCTATAACAAAGTGGTGAGATTCAGTTTCCAACCAAAAAAAATTCACAAAGAAAGTTATGAGGAACTCCAAATGCTCAACACTCGTACTCACATTTCCAAACACCACCAAAGTCCACAACATCATGACTCTTCACCAAATCCACATGCTTCCCCTGCTCAAACAAAACCATCTCCTTTTCAGCATGGTATATAGCAGCATCGACTTCAACCTGATCGTCGTCCTCTTCCCCATCATCGTTTCGATAATTCTCCTCATCATCACGATACTGCTGAACATAAATAGCTCCATTAGCAGCCATTTGGATGATACCAAGCGAGCCACCACTGGGCTGCCATATCTTACTCCCAAGCAGGTAGGGTGGTAGTGGATTTATATTGTTTGGCGCGAGATATGCATGGCTGTTTGGAAGGTCTTGCGTTGCGAATGGGTGACGGTAGAAGGGTTTGAAGCGGTATGGGTGTTGGAGGGATTGGTAGGGTGATGATTGTGATGTTGTGTAGCTTACTACACCGTATGAGCGAGAGGCAGTGAATAATAGTCCTGCGTAGAAATGACAGAAAGCATCAGCGCGGTATATGAGTGAGTTTCCTTCATCTCTCTCGTTGCAATACACAAGGTAGACTCTCAACTTACTATCGTCATCCCGTTCAACAAACTCCATATGAAAAGCCTTATCATCGTCATCAGAAGGCTTGGCCCATTCAAGTACTGGATGCTTTGGCATTCTCAAATCGTGAATTGCCACTGCCTTTTTATGTGCTACAGCCATCAAGAAGGGTATATGCCTTGATCGCGCAAATGAGGAAATGCCATCGTATTGAAAAGTGACTTCGGATGAAGCAGTCTAAAACGATAAAGGACAGCAAAGTGAGCGGCCAAAAAAATCTCACTCAGACCTTATTCCATATCCCATTGTATTGTGAGAACAGTTAAATACTCACACGAAAATCCATCATTTCAATATGAGTAGAACTTGCCAAGTACAGTGTACGAGGATGTGCACCGAATTCACAAGCCAGGTATGTAGTATCGTCGTCCTCGTGTGGCTCACGCACAGTGTCACAGCTATAGAAAATTATGCTGAGATATGATGGCAAAAAAGCCGTCGAGCTATCGGTTCTATGCTTACGTGTCAGCAGAACCATCGTCCCACAACGCGACATGTCCACCTTCGAACACGATGCTAGCCAGACCAGGTACAGCTGAATGCCAATTGACATCAAGTGGTTGACGACTAAATGGCAGTGATCCAACATGAGTGTATGCGTACTCGTCGTTTCGTTTTAGGAAACTGATGGAGGAGTGATTTCTAATGGCTGTCGTTCCTAAAAGTAACATTTGCGAAAAATGGGTCAGCGATGAATCGTGTTTGTTACGTCGTGAGTCGTGCTTTTTTTCACCTGTGAAAGAGGATATGATTTGAAGTATCGATGTCTTAAACTTCAAAAGCGGTTTCCTGGGTATACGCGGTATACATGGCGTTCGTCTCTTCTTTGAAGGTTCAAGATGGAAGGCGACTATGAAAAAAAGTGCGATTTTAGTTGTCTTGATCAATCATCCAAATATCGGTCGATAGATTTTTGTTGCGCCAACAAAACTTACACAGCTCATTCATACAAACACCACCGGGGCACAGCATAACATCATCATCCAGACTCAAGCAGTTCCCATAACGATACAACCCTCCATGATCCCGTTCAAACTCGAAATCCTCCTTCAACAAGTCCTGTACAAGATCACTTGGAACATAGTCGGCTGGATTTGAAGCTGTCAAATAATCAGACTAAGCACAAAAATGAATTCAGGATTCTGTTTATCTTGAAACTCGTGTTGTAAAAAGAAA